GAAATGAAAGAAAAAAAAAGTTTAAAAAATGGAGAGTGGACGGAGCGTCACTCACCGACGTCGGAGTTGCAGAAGGCGTCCTGCGGATGCGACAGGGCGCACGAGCAACCCTCCGTCACCCGGACGACCTGCAGGCTGCCGAAGACGAGCAACAGGCCGACCAGCTGCTGCTCACGGACTGCATTCTGCTCGGGACGCGTCCACTGGGGCAATGCGATGGAGTCCGGCTGGGTCCTCGAGGCGGTGCGTAACGTCGACGTCTCTGCTCCGCTCCGCGCGAGAGCCGTACATATAGAGCTCGCGCGCCCCCCCTCCCCTCCAGCCCCGGCAGCTCGCGGGCGGGCCGGCCAATCAGCGGCCGGTGATGGCTGCAGGAATTACAGACACACCAGACGCGATGACATACTGGAACTTTACTCTTGTTTTCCCAGAATGACACCAAAAAAAAAGGGGCGAATAGAGACAAGAGAGTAATAAAATGAGAATGGCTGAACGGATGTTTATGCGTATTTGAAGAATGGTTTGAGGGATAGCAAATTTAACTATGGGAAAATATACTCGTATAATAAACAAAATATTTTGGTAACCTAACCTAAATTTATATTCAAATTGATAATAAATGACAGAAATGCGTCACACGTACAATTTCTCATGATGTGTGTGGAAATGTGTGGAAAGTCATTTTTCTGGCATTTCTGCGATAGATGGATAGAAAGAAACACTTCAATCACATCTGTACAAAACAAAAAATTAATGCAAAATATCGGCTGCATTTGTTATTAACATTTTCCCTTTTCTCACTTTTCACCAGGGTCTCACTTAGTCATCCCACCCACCCCTGACGCCTCCTTAATAAGAAATACTTAGTATTGAAGTATTGAATACAATGTGCAGCCAGATTCCTCCGGCAGCTGCAATCAGCTGCAACAAATGACGGTTTATCCCTAAGCGGCTAGAAACAAGAGCTTTGAAAGCAAATGAGGGCTCCGGTTTTGACACATTTTGTGTCATAATTGGGTTTAAGCATCTTTTATTCCATTTTTTTGTCGATAAAGTAATAGCATTTTGGTGCAAAAATACTACTGTTTTTATAGACCTGAGTGGAGCTTCTTTATTGCTGCAGAGGCTTATCTGCCGAGATTGAGGGAACTATGTTAAGGGTTGACGCTGCTCACGGTTATATAACCAAGCAAGAAATAGTCAGGTCGAGAAACTCTGACCCTTAATCCGCCTTAATTAATTATATCAGTTTATTGAACCCACATGGCCAGATATAGCCTTCATTTTGTACGTACTATGGCAGTGATACGCATGTGATTTCAATGACCATTTAAAAAGGGTGATTGCTATTTGCTTCTGTCTTCTGTTGTATTTTTCGCGAAAGTACATTTTTACGTGAGCCTATGTTAAAAGAGCAGTATGTATTTTTTGGGACTAGAATATTATGCCGGAAGTGTGATGAATTGTTTCACACTTTCCATTCATCGTTCACCCTGTGACTCGCATCAATAATTGGTCAGCCACTATGTTTTTATATGCGTTCACTATTATCCATGAAATAAGTCACTGTTCCTTCAGCTACATTACTTAAACACATTTCTGTTTCCAGTCCAGCAGTCAGGAACAACGGGAGGACATTTACCATCTGTGGATATTCAGCATCACGCTGTATTTCATCAGAGGTACGGCCTCATCTGCCGGACCGGAGCCGGTTAGCTGCCATTAACCATTGATAATGCCCGAATGGATACTGTTTCAGCCTCCAACCTGAACAGTTCTGTGACATTCCTTCCATAGACGCCGGCTCAAAATGCGCGACAGGTGGATTTGCATTTTGGAATGCCCAAAAGAGGCGATGAAAGCAGAAAGGTTCAGACTGTCAGGTCAAGTCTGAGGGAGGCTGGGAGGAGAAGGGATTCTTTTGGGCATTATTACATTAGACTTCAAGAGGTATAACAGCCCCGCATTCCTAACATTTATCCCTAAGATTACAAGTTGAACCAGCCGAAAGAAGGAAACAGCCCTAATATGGGATTACATACTGCATCAAAAGACTTAAAGGGGCGTCCGTCCTTCAACCCCCATTACCACCACAAAGTATTCCGTTACTGACCCTAGAAATGCTCTGTTTGATTATTTGGGGGGTGGGTTGCTTGCTGTATGACCAGAGGTTTGATGGACGGTGTTATCAGTTTGGTCCCTGTGTGTTCAGGTGATGGACGGGTCCGGCGGCTGCGTGTTACCCCAGGCTGGAGATGGGGCAAAGCTGTCTTATGTACACATTGTGTTGTTTTAGCTGGCCTGCTAAAATGGAAGAGCTTTGTCAAGATTGAATAATTCTCAACTATCCATCAATTGTCAGTTCAGGTCTACGGCCTGCCTATTAGTGACCCCTGATATACAGTGTCGGCGTCGTCGACGAATGGCTTCCTTCTGAAGAATCCATTCTTTACAGATGTGCAACTATCACATAGGGATAAGTCCATAATGACATGGGTCTATTTCTACAATACTAAAGGCATAAAAGAGGCCACAGGCCAGTAGAGCTCCAGACATAAGTTCGTTTTTTGTTGTGTGATTGATTGTTGGTTACATGTTTGGCCCTTTTAGAGTCGTCCGGGGACTCGTCTGTGGTAAAGAGGCGTAAAAGGACTGAAGTGGGACACTTCATCAAGATATTTCTTGGAAAGTAGCAGGTATCAAGAGAATGATGTATTATGTGTGTGTGTGTGTGTGTGTGTGTGTGTGTGTGTGTGTGTGTGTGTGCGATCAATGTGCCTTGCAGCTGTCCTCACATGAGGGGTCACACCACAGTGAAATGGATGAGGCCTTCCTCTGGGTCTCAGCCCAACATCAAGGTCGCTGTTTTTCATACATTGTAGCTTCCCCAACAAAATGATTGCATAAGTGCGTGCTCTAGTTAAACTGTGCCGTCACAAATGGGACAAGATGAAACGGAACTCTCCAGAATATTCTGGTTATGTGCGTCTCTCACAGCTCGTAACTACGACCTGGTCCAAGCAACAGGGCATCTGGAAATGATGTCGCCAAACTAGGCCGACAAACTGTAAGCGTAACGCAGAAGCCAAAAAGTATTTCATCTGGAAAGAGTCCAGTAATAGAAAAGGTCCGAGCCGTCCGAGAGGGGGGGCAGAAAACGCCGTTGAGTACCGGAGGTCTTTAAGGCGTGTGCGGCTCCAGCCTGACGAGAGAGAACAGAGCGGGCTGACTCAGAGGAAACACCTCTCATCCGACTGACAAGCGGCTAAAGAGAGACAGGAAGAGGCCAAACTTGAAAAGATTGCGCCGCCGGGAGCGCCGTCGAGGAGGGAGAACGTCCGGCCCTGACTCACTCGCCCTGACTCACTCGGCCCGGTTGCACAGACCACATGCCCCTCAGGTTAAGTGGGACGAACTGCACGACCCCCCCAGCTCTGCGGCTCTGCGCCGCGAGGGCGGGCGGAAGTCGTGTCACGGCAGGAAGTAGACCGTAGTTGGATGTGCTTCTTGTCGCAAAGAGGCCGGCCCTTAGCGCTCAGGTTGCGAGGACGATCCACTGGGGAAACACGTAGTCCACTGAATAAAATACACGCTGCTACTATCAATATCTCGCAGGGGGCTCCTTAATGAGATTATGGGTGACCATCCCGGGGATGTCACATTATATGACCATGTACCACGATGCTGCGAGCGGCATGACACTGGATACCGTGTCATGGGGGCTTTCATCAGGAGTTGTAGCATCTAAGAGGTGTCCCTGCAGTGACATGTCGGTTGTTTGCCGAGACGCCCTTGTCTCAACCCTCCTCGCGGATCAGGAAGTAATATCAAAGCACGCTGCAGCGTTTGTATTCGCCGCTCAGTCCGTCCACTCCACTGAACATTACAGCAGATGCGCGCCGCTTTTCAACCCCCACTGTCATGTGAAGTGGAGTTAAGACATCAGAGAAGGAAACACAAACATGACCCTGACCCATGATCGTGCTCACAATGGGACTCCCCCTGCAATAAAATATGATAAACGGTCAGTAACTTCCTACTCAGCCAGGCCAAACGCAACCACAGCGCTCGCTGCTCAGACACACAGTTCCCTGTACTCTACTGTACATATTTGGTGTGTGAGTGGTCAGAAACCCCCGCAAAATGACATTGTTGTATTACGGCATGAGACACCACGCCAAACCATAAACACGGATATATAAGAGCATGGAAATAGCCTCGAGGAATTCCTTAAGGTTGAGGGAGTTTCTAAACTGGTTCCGATGTAGAGCACCGTAAAAAGCAGAGTCGTTTAATGCTTCAGTCTTGTGTCCTGCTAACTGGTGAGTGAACACATGAATAACGTTTAATTACTAAATTACTCCATTTGACGTTTGTCAAGTGAGCACAAAAAAAGTCCAAAGGAACATTTCTCTGTGACGTGTGAGCAAGTTCCACGTAACACACGTGAAAGAACTGTCAATATTGCATCCTGGTACCACAAGGCTGCCTAGCTGCAATTCTCCAGCTAGCTACAAGCCTACAGTTTACTGTAATTGGAAAGCTAACTTTAGCTTAGGTCAAACCTGGGCTGGAGAAAGTGTACCACTAAACCCGTTATTCACACTCCCTTGTCAGAAACACCAAAGGTCATTTTCGGCCACGGTTTGATTGGCAGGCCATCACCAGGAACCCAGCATACGTAGCTCTTGGAGAGATTGACACTGAAAGCTAAATGTGTTCCCTCAGATAACCACTTGAACTGTTTTGATAAGGAAGAAGGAACAGAGAAGTGTGTTTACCCATACTGCTCCTCTATAAAACAGTGTGTTATTACTCCTCAGCATCTGAGTGTGCCCTATTAATTTGCCTCACGTTGAGTTCATTTGGACGGGACGGTAAATCATTCCAGTGTTTCTTCGGCTCTGAATGCTGTAGAAACACGGTGTTTCCCAGAAATCCGAGCAGCGGAGGGAAGGTGTGCGTGGGAGGAGGACTGAAAGCTAATTTAGGGAAAGTGGTTGAGGGAGAACCATTGAATCACCAGCAGGTCACAGGTCGAAGGGTGTCAACGGGGAGGGCTGACGTCTCCTTGTGGGAGGGGGGATGGATTTGGGCAGATGGTTACATTTAGAAATGACATCACGCTGTTGGGACATCCCTGTCAGTTGTTTCCTCTCGTCTCAGCAATGGCCGGTTGTGTTATCTCCTCATGATGTTTGACAGGCAGAAGGCCATTAATGAGTTACTGTTTTAGGAATGACTCATCTGACCTTTGCCCAAAGAAGAGCTATTATTTTAAGAATAGTATCATGTCGTCGTCTCTGTGGGAAGCAGAAAATGATGCCGTAATGATTCAAGAAACACCAAAAGAATCGCGTGGGACCTTTGAATCATCACTATCATTCAAGCAATATTCACAAGCCATATTCTTGCTTCAAAGTGCATTAGTTCAGTAGTAGTTTATGATTTGGGTGTAACATAGACTGTAAAGAGAAACATATTCCTCCTCTGCAATGGAGGTTTGACATTTTAAAGATGCTGTAATATTTGTTATGTCAAAAGGGGATCCAGTGATGGTCTGTTATGTGAAAAGGTTTCACTTGTAATAGCAAATGGAAACTTTCATCAGCTTTGGTGCAGCTTCCCCTCAGTACTATTCTGTTCTCATTCAATCAGTGACTTAGTAGCTGGAGATGGATATTTGGCTGGTGGGTACCAAAGCAAAGCTAAATGGGACGACTGTATTCAAGGTTGTTCTATATTTACTTGATGTATAAAAGGGCAGTTAAGCACGAGCAACATTATACAGAGACAATATGTCAGTGTTGTGTTTTCAGTTAGTAACGTTGCTCCCAAAAGGCCCAAAAAAGAATTAATACAGATCGAAGGTTTGTAAACCAACTTGTGACCCCTTTTAAATGAAGCAATGTCCACCAGGGATCCATCACCCAAGGTTGATAGATTCACTAGAATGATTTTATTTTAAAGGTCCTGGGAGGGTTGAAGTTGTTTTTCTTCTCTTGTCAGAGTTTCACAAGGAAAACAAAGGAGAACTTGAAGAAACAGTATATTGTGTAACAAACTGTTTTTCTTTCTTATCCTTTTAATTTTCTTGTGACCCACGTAGATTTATCTTCAGACCCGAGGAGGGGGTCACGACTCTCAGGTCGGGGACCACTTTTTTTAGATCAAGGAAAGCATTTTATGGACATTACATCATGTTGCCCAATGGGCAACAACAAAAATGGCACCAACCTGATTGGTGAGATCCCACACGCCTCACCCATATTTATTCTGAACCAGGATATACTGTTGATGGGACTGTCCTCTCCCTCTGGATGCCTCAGGGTTTCCGCGGGCACTCATGAACTTTCCCCCGGCTCAGACCAGAGGGTGTGGGCGTAGTTGAGCGTAGTTCACCGCAATTTACGAGACAAAACCGCAGCGGGAGGAATCCCACATTTGTTTTTTAGGCTGGAATCCTCCAGCAGACGGGGACTCTGCACAAACATTTATGCACAGCACAGAAACACAGTCGCGTGACGCAGTTGTTTTTCTTGCCGTTAAGAAATTCATAATGGTGTTTAGATAGCTTACAAAAACAGCTTGCAGAGGGGATCTCTTCCCCTTATCTGAATCATATCACAAACACTTGACCCTCTGTTGCTTTTGTTGCCCCCAGAGTTTTTCTTTTCATTTTGAAACAGATGCCTTTTGTTAAACTAAGGCAAATGCCCTCAAAGATCAGTTTGATGTCAAAGGCAGTCTCTTCTCTGTTTCTGTATTCATGATGAATACATCTTTCTTTACACTACAGGTCATAATGAAGTCCTAATTCATGACGGACAAAAGCATGAATCTTTGGTCTGGATTCGTTTTTTCAGGACAGGAATGTTTTTTGCTAAAAAGCTTGTCAAATGAATATTTTTGTCAAAAAACGAGTATACAGAGATGAAAAGATAATCATCATAATTACAGAATTTGATCAAACTTTGTATTTATAATAAAAATCTGCTGATCAATATGATAATTACTTTTTCCCAATAAGAAGTAATTAAAGATGCAGCATCTTCTCCTGAACATCTGTTATCATTGAAATATGTTGAACGGATGGTACAGCCAGGTCTCTTACTTATTCATAATTACTGAGTGTATCTCTTTAATACCAGTTCAGTGTATTACAGAGTCCCACCCCATCCCGCTGCTTGCACTAGGTTTGCAACATCCTGCTGTTCCAAAAACATCTTCCTACCGTGTCTTCATTGAAAACAGTGGCGCTGCTGACATTTGGGCTGAGCCCTGGTATATGCGCTCTGTCAAGTTGCTGACTCCTCCTTGCTTCGTGTACACTTTCATTTCAAAAGTCCAAAAGTCACTGTGACATTTATGCAAGTGTCAGTATTGTCTGTTTAAAGAACGCCAGACGCCGTAGTGTTGGTAACCCGTGGGTATATTTAACAATGAGTTTACTTTTGGACCATTTTAAAGCATTTTCCGCGCTCTGAGCTCTAATATTGTCGTCAATATCACATAAAACGTTGGCAAAGCACCCAACAAAACCCAGGTAAACACAAGTGCCTCAGCGCCTACAAATGCAGCTTCCTTCATTTCATGTACATCTTCTGAGCAGACCGGATATTTGGGAAAGGAAGGAATTGTGTCTCTGCCAGAGAGGAGACTCTCGTGCTCGGCATGAAACCCAGACATTTGACACCGCCGTGTTTGAATATTTGGTTGCAAGTACACATGTACAGAAATGGGTCGGAGAAAACAAGAACTAACAGTACCAGAAACAAGTACATTGGCCCTCTTTCGGACTGTTAGGGTACATCTGTCCACATCCGTCACGTTGCTCCCAGATGCGTATTTGGATCCGTGGTTGTTTTCACCAGAATCCCTCAGCTGAAAGGGTTGAGTGAATGATTCCATTCAGTCCTGGGATCACGGCACACAGTCACCTCATTTCTGCCCGGCCTTTTCCGAGGCCTGACGCTGCAGGAGCCCCTGGAAAATGGGAAAGAAACATCCCTTTTGCTTTTTACTGAGAGGAATGTGGCATGGCGCTGATGGGTTTTACAGGGTTGGCTCGCCAGAGGCCCGTCTGTCCTTTTACTTCTGAGGCAGGAATGTAGGTTAGTGAATTGATTAGGGCTAACAAGGCCCGTCCAGCTCCGTATTACAGCAACACCGCAGAGAAGCCAGACGGCAAATGTCTGGACGTGTACTTAACACAGACTTTCAAACAAATCTCTGTTTATTTAAAAATGAATACACTGGACTTGAGTAGTGGCTGTGTTTTGTAATTTAATTATATTGGTTAACCATCTGTAATATTACCCACCTGTGACATCACTGAGCTGTTACACGATACGTTCTTACAAGAGCAATTTCGCAATTATTTTGTCTGAATAAAACCAAACTGATTTTGGTGACGTTGTTAATCTGAAAACTGAAAAATAACCACAGTTTGACTGGGGCATTTCTAAAATGACAGTCTATAGTTATTATTGCAAGCCCATTTTTCATTGTTACTGCTCATCAAATCCATGACTCAAAGCAGTGATTGGATAAACCTGTGTTTTGTGATGCGTTGCACCGGTGATCTGACGCTCACACCGCTTGTATTTTCCAAGAGAGAAGTTTTGTAACTGACTATGGACCACACTATTATTTATTTATCGTACAGTAATGAGTGGTTCCAGTAAAGCGCAACACTGCACGATACATTTCCAACAAGTTGTGATGACTAAACAGGTGCCTTGACCACCAGAAGGAGCCAGAAGAAGAAGCCCCATCACTCACCTCCGTCAACACCACCTGTGTTTTCCGGAAGCATCCGCCATGGAAACTTCCATCCTCAGGAGTGAGTTGTGTTTTCCAGACAGCTGTCTTGCTCATAGATATATACGCAGGACGGAGGACTCTGATGGAAGCCAGATGAGCTTTAATTCCACAGCAATAATTAGCTTGCCCCATTAGAAGGCCTTTATTCTTTACACTTTGACACAACGGGGATCTTCTGTTAGTTGCTGTTTTGGGCGGATGTTAGTTAGGCCGGGGGTGGGGGGGTTACCATGACAACCCGTAAAAAGTCTGTTGTGCAATCGTGCCCAGGAACCGCTCTATGTGTCATGCTTATGTTACTTTTAGTTTGAGAACATGGAAGCTTAAAGCGTGAGAAATTTAGGCATGTGCCTGAAACAGCTGCCCACTTTTATGAATTTGTATATTTGTTCAAACAGTTCAAACACGCTCTGCACATCATTCTTAGTTAATGTGCTTACTCCTTTTGTATCGGTTCAACGTGAAAGATATCTGCCACCATTTGACACGGCTCAAACATGCCCTCAAAGAGAGCTTAATCCAACCCTGTCAGATGTATGAATTCAGTCAGTAACTTGACAAACATTATTGGTCTCTTGAGGCTCACTTAATCCACAGGCCGGGTTTGATGTGGGCAGGCTGCCTTTGGTCCCGCTGCGGTCCCAAAACCCTTGAAAAGGACTCTGGGTCGGGGTACCCTGCTGTCGTCGTCTGCACAAACCATTGCGCCTCATGTCTTCTCCTTGATGTGGCAGGTTTGAGCTGCAGTAATGAAAATGAAGAGATCATAAATGCAGGATGGATGCAGCACATGTTTTTATTGGATAATGCAATCGCCCGCGAAGAACGATCCAGCTCCTTCTGCTACGCAACGCAAGTGCTGAAGGGGTGTATGTGTGTCTTCTTTTAATCATGCACTAATTCATTTTTTTTTTGCCCCATTAGTTCCTATCAATGGTTGTGGACGATGGTTGTTCTGCTTACTCCAAGTAGCGAAAATATGAATCAATTCTGCTTTAAAGGAACTGGTGGCATACGTGTGTCATGTGTCACGAAACATTCTAATAGCACACAGAAAAGCTGCTGGGATGGAGTCATTTAGGGGAGTTTTTCCTGTGCCGATGTGAGGGTTTCGGGACAGAGGATGTTGCATGTGTACAGTCTGTAAAGACCTCTGAGGCAGATTTGCAATTTTCCATTTTGGGCTACACAAAATAAAATAAATTGGAAAATGAATTTATAGCATTTAAAGTCTACATCGGAGTAGTTCTTCCTCAGCAGATGGAATAGTACATTTACAGCCCTCTGAGGGGTTTTCTTATCCGCAGAAGAAGAAGATTGGATGATATAATAAAAAGCTTCTAAAAGGACCTTTTGATAATTGTCAGATAGTTTGGACTCTTTGAATATGTGGTGAACCTTGGTTGGACCTAAAAAGCAACCTGACAGGCGTCGGTCCTCTTGGGTTTAAAATGGTCACTGTGGGATCTCTAGACTTCCAGTCTGCTGAGGGTGAACGTTTTTAGGATTGGAATGTCCCACCGAGGTGTTTGGCAGTTTACTTTAGACACAGAGTCACAATGCGTGAAACAAGCTTCACGTTTACGGTCAGGAGTGGGTGCGTGTGGGCGAGATGGGCTTCCCTGAAGTATTCCCATCACGTGGGAGGCCTTGTTGTCCGGCACATTTACTGAAAATGAAGGAAGCCTGTGTGTTACGAAATGGAACCTAGACTGGTGAAATCACCAACCATATAATTGGCCTTTTTTAGCATGTGACCTCGTAACGTCTTTACCACACTGGATTCCTTTTACAGATTTCTGCTGGGAACAAAAGGCAGAGTGGCCCACGCGCAGCTGGGATGAAATAGCATGCGCAAGCTTTTGTAAACCAAACATTTTCACATTTGCGAGTTCACAAATTGTGTAAAGAGCACAGATCAGATTGAATAGAAAGAGGCTTGGATAATTATGTTGACCAGCACTTTCCTTGTTTGCTTGCTAGAGTAATTTACCAACTTTACCACCATCCAAACAACAATTTCCCATGTCAGCGATATACTAGAAGCACATGTTTCTGAATGATGAATTTGGCCACTTTCTTATGTAACCAGCAGACTCTGGAACACTCTGGAATGAACCTGCCGACAGTCTGTCTTATTGTGTCAAAATGTCAGGGAGTGAGTTTACGGGCTTCCATGTGATCTAAGTAATGTAAATGTTCTCGTACTGAGGTAATCTTATGTTTATGTTCCGCGGGGCCATTACAAAACAACAGTGAGCGCACGTCTCCGTCTTTCATCCTGGCCAGAGGATGTGGTCGTCTCCCCCTCCTCTCGCACGCTGTCGGCCGCCTTTGCCACGCTGATGGGAATGAGTGTAAGGACCTGTCCAGACACAGCAGGAACCACGGAGACAAGGTGTCCCCGGGACTAACGATATGTTAGTAATGCTTTTCTCATCAGTTGTCACAATTGAATTGTACTTGAAGTGCGTTCTTGCGTTTTGCATTGCGTGCATGTTTACGGACGCTCCCCATTTACACTACTTTCAAACGAAAGTGGATCACAAAGTGGACGTCTTAATACGGCCTCGCCTCCCCTCTGCGTTGGGGCGATAATAGAAACAATTTGAGTGCGCTTTATCTTGGCAGCGTGTCGGGCCGGGCCCGAGCTGTCGAAACCTGTCAACGGGCTCGCCGCTCACGCCCCTCGAGCAGCGCGACTTCTTTTGGAGGCTCGGAGCAGAAGAGGCTGACGTGACGCTTTACGACGTGCAGCCCTGTCAGCTGTCGGGGAGGGTTTGGATGAAGCGATAGCAGCTGTTTAGGCGTTCCCTTCCTCCGCGCAGGTCGGAGCTCACAGTATATCTCAATGCGTGATTTGGCCTCGTGCCTCCGGTCTGAACTTTATCTCCTGCTGTGTTTATTTTATTGTGGGCTTCACCTTGAGGTGCCGGGCAGAGATTATCACTCTTGACTTTGAGTAAACTTTGGGAGTGTTACATCGACACGACTTTGTCAACGTTCATGAATGCAGTCAGAATAATATTATCAGTCTTGTTATTAGTTGATTTATTTATTACACTCGTTTTATTTGTAGACCTTTACTGTGTCACCGAGGGGGCAAAAAAAAGGAAAAAATGTTGTATGTTGTATTTCATCGCAATGTGTTTGTGCAGTTTTTCTACCATCACTGAACGTACTCTTCATTCTTCATCATAATTACTACAAACTTGCCCAAAGATCCCCTTAAAAAATCTGGTGTTGCTGCGCAAAAGCTATTACATCCAATAGTGTGGAAAGTCCCTCTTAAGTGACATCCTATCAGTGGATTCTTCAAGGGGCGTTTAAACCACAGAGAGGTTTGAAGTAATCTGTTAATGTTTCATCCACTTTAAGTCTACAAACTATGAGAAGCGGCATGTTTGCGGTCTGCCCTGTTGGTTCAAACCCATCCCAACGAGCTCTGGTCTTCCACCCAGGTTCCCAGAATTTCTTCTTTTGTATAACAAACCAACATTTTTCCGACTCCACCTCATGGCTCTTAAACTGAGCAGCTTCGCGCTCAGCGGTCACCAGTGCCCATGTGTGTCTTTACAAGGCCGCGGTTCTGCTCACTTCATGTACACATTTGAATATGTTGCAAAGGAAATAGTTTTCCACTTGTGGTTGTGTCTCACTGTGGTGTTTACCACACGTCTGTCCTGCTGTACATTTAAAACACCAAGCACAGTTCTGAATTCTAGTAAAGTAGTTTTTGTTTAAAGCTGGGAAACCAATATTTTTCTATAATTAAGATTTGTAAAAATGACTGTGTATTATTGAAGGTTTTATTTGTGCTAACACAGTGATATTCATGGCCACCAACTTTGCTGTTTCAGCTGTTATTATTGTTGTTTTTTGTCATCTGGTTTTCAGCACCAAAACTCTGATAAACCAAATGTAAGATAACACCTATTAAAGGAAAAGTTAGCCTTATGTTTAAAAAAATAGAAAGAAAGAAAAATACAACATTTTTCAGTCAGGTCTTGCAGAAAAGAAGCTGATAGAAGATAAAGGACTCATCAGGCAAGGCCAAGGCCAACTTAGCTCTGTGTTCACAGGGAATGTCCCCGCAGTCTTTTTGACATCTTTTTGTAAAGGACTGCTGTTTATATGCCAAGAGAAACAATGCAAAATGTAGCTTCGGAAAGACAAAGATTAATATTCTGACGTTCTTGTCTGCAGGTTACAAGCCCTTCCTACCCCGTGGTCATCAAGATGGGGCATGCTCACGCCGGCATGGGAAAGGTGAGTTTATTTTCTGGAGATATACAGACAAAAACTCTTTTAGCTGTACTTGTATATACAGTTGTGGTCAAAAGTGTACATACACTTGTAAAGAACATAATGTCATGGCTCTCTTGGGTTTCCAGTTATTTCTACAACTCAGATTTTTCTCTGATAGAGTAATTGGAACATCTTTGTCACAAAAAACATTCATGAAGTTTGGTTCTTTTATGACTTTATTATGGGTTAACAGAACAAAATATACATACAGGAATATGAATTAGCAATTTTGGTGACTTATAAAGTTGTGTCAATGAGATGAGCTTCATAGCACGGCCTCTTAACTTCTTGTGAGTGATATGAGTGACTACAGCTGGTGACGTCTCTGAGGCTGTCAGGGATTGCGGGGATGTAGGACTCAGACGACGATTATCAAAAAGGTTAAAGCAAAAGGCCAAGGGGCAAAAAGCACACAGGAACCAGGGGGAAAAACAGCAGGCAGGAAACTATGAAACTCCGCGACGAAAGACAAGGACATGCGTGGCAAAAGACAATGACGCGACAAGTGACAACAGACACACATAGCTTAAATACACTAGGGAGGTGCAGGTGATTGGACACAGGTGGAAACTATTAGACGATCACAGGGGATGACATGACAAGGCAGGAAGTGAAGTTACCCGGGGACACGAGTGGCAGAAAACTACAAAATATAACATGAAGTGAACCACACCGTGACAGAGGCCATTAAAATAGGGCTCATTGGATACAAACGCCCACAAACGCTACAATGGGAAAGTCAAAGCATGGATCTGAAAAAGCGAATCATTGACTTGAACAAGTCCGGAAAGTCACTTGGTGCCATTTCAAAGCAGCTGCCCAAGAGCAACAGTGCAAACAACTGTAAGTATAAAGTGCATGGCACTGTTTATCACTGCCACCATCAGGAAGAAAATGCAAGCTATCACCTGCTGCTGATAGAAAATTGGTCAGGAGGGTGAAAAGTCAACCGAGAAGCTCCAAAAAGATCAGCCAAGAAGTAGAAGCTGCTGGAACACAGGTGTCAGTGTCCACAGTCAAGCGTGTTTTGCATCTCCATGGACTGAGAGGCTGCCGTGCAAGAAGGAAGCCCTTGCTCCAAAAGCGGCACCGTAAGGCTCGACTGGAGGAAAGTTCTGTGGTCAGACGAAAAAAAAATCAAGCTGTTTGGCCACAATGCCCAGCAAGTAGGGTTTTAGAATGGCCTTCCCAAAGTCCTGACTTAAATCCCATTGAGGACATGTGGACAATGCTGAAGAAACAAGTCCATGTCAGAAAGCCATCAAATTGAACTGAACTGCACGACTTCTGTCAAGATGAGTGGTCAAAGATTCAACGAGGAGCTTGCCAGAAGCTTGTGGATGGCTACCAAAAGCGCCTAATTGGAGTGAAAATGGCCAAGGGACATGTAACCAAATATTAGCACTGCTGTATGTATACTTGTGACCCAGCAGATTTGATCACTTTTTCTGTTAACCCATAAATAAAGAACCAAACTTCATGAATGTTTTTGTGACAAAGAAATATCTGTTCCATCTATCAGAGAAATATCAGACATGTAGAAATAACGGGGGAACTCAAGAGAGCCATGACATTATGTTCGTTACAAGTGTATGTCAACTTTTGACCACAACTGTATAAGTGGAATAAATCTGTTGTCTTTACCAAAAGTCTAACTATTCCTTTCCAGCCTAAAAGACAGAGGACTTTTGCAGACGAGCACACAAGTTCTCCGCCTTTATCCGCTCCGATTACAGGCTCACACTCAAACTCGTCTAGGCTCCAGACGAGCAGAACAAACATGTGATATTATCACAACAGCTTTGACTGGTCTGCGTTTCAAAGAGAGGGGAAAACCTCAAATCACGATGGCCCGATCCCAGTTGTAATCAGGCTGCAGAGCTGGTTTACGCTCTCCGACTGGATATCTGATTGTTACAAAGGCAGAGGAGCACACAGCTGATAAGGTCTGACTACAAGCCGCTGGTGCTTTTGCTCTGCCCGAATAACTATTTTAGAAGCTTGAACAGGATTGCTGGGAACAACCTTTAAAATGACGTCCGTCATCTGTTTATTAAATAGTTAACAGTGAGGAGCGATTGTTTTCAAAAATGAGTAAAGCTTTTGATGCAGCAATAACAAAGTTCACATGCGTATTCTCCCCAGCACAAACCTCTCTGTCCCTCCCTTTCCCGCCAGTCATTTGGATTCACAGGGAGGGACAATTCTTAAATGTCTTTTCCCCTCGTCTGTCTGGTAGGGCTTGGTTTCCTGTTCGGGGGCCCGACTTGCTATAGAATTTCCCATAAGGCTCGAATGGATCTTGGCAGGACCTCGTTCAACCCTCGTTCAACCCCCTCATCCTCACACAGCTCTGAGAACTGGGATTTAGGTCCTTGTTTGCTTTTGACAGACAAGAGCTGTATTAGACAGAGCTACTTCCCAAAATGCTGCCTTTATAACATCATAATCCATTTTAATTCAAAGGTGGTATATGTAGCTTAAGTCTTTACAGCATCATTTTATATCTTTTTTTTATTTTGCTCAATTAACATGATTAAAGCAAAAGTATCTCAGAAAGTTAAGCTCTGAAGCAATAAAACACACCCTCACTCAATTCCCTACATTCGAGGCTTTTTTACTGCTCGAGCCTCACATGGTCTGCTGAGTCTAATGTTAGCGAGCTTTAAATAGAGATCGCTTTATAGGAGCATCACTGAGTAGATTCAATGACTTAAGCACTATTCTCTATTTCATGTTCTTAAGTTCTTGTGGTTTTAAGGCAGTTTACTCTAGAAACAGTCCGTCTCTGTCCATAACTAAACCAATGTGTTTGTCATCCTCAGGCTGCCGTCAGCAACGCGGCGTAACCGAATCCGAGCAGTGTGTACTTTAATATTTGAATAGGCTGCACATATTAAATGTGGCTACTCAGTCTTTATATGACAAACATATTGACATACCAGTAGCAGAGGGAAGCTTTATACCCCATTTCTCCCATTACGTAGTTTTAAACTAGTCAGGCTCTGTAATTGAGCCGCTGTGTCATTTAGTCTGCACACTGACCAGTGTGACATGACTTTTTCCAGCAGGCGCCGTCCTTCTCCGTTTCACGTTCTCTGGCTTTACCTTTTTCTGCTCGCATCGTTCCCGTTTGTTTCCTCGAAGGAATTGAGTAATTCTTGCACGCTTATGGCTCAGAGCTGGCCGTGCCGCTAGCTAACAGCTTCTAGCTGTGGAGCCACGTTGTGAACTGTGCGTCACTCTCATTAATTCGTTTGGCTTTGTTATAAGATAATATGAAGTGATACTGTATTTGTCTTGTTTTGTGAAATATTGTGTCAGGGTGCGGGGAAGGCAGGACTCAAGCACAGACTTCAAACCAAAAAAAGACTTTAATAGTCACAAACTCCAAAAGGGCCAAGGGGCAAAAATACAGACAGGAGCCAAGAACATCCAGAACAATCGACAATGACGCGACCAGTGACAAGAGACACACGGCTTAAATACACTAGGGAGGTGCAGGTGATTTGACTCAGGTGGAAACAATCAGACAATCACAGGGGATGACAGGACAAGGCAGGAAGTGAAGTTACCCAGGGAGACAAGAAGCAGAAAACTATAAAATAAGACAGGAAATAAACCCACACCGTGACATATTGGAACAAAAGTACCTTCTTGTATTGCTTTTTATATGGACTCATGTGTCCGGAAATGAAGTTCAATGAATATACTCAGCTTTGCCTTTGCCTCGGTCTGGTATGACCACTAGCTAACGTTGGCTAATGTTAGCGAGTTTGAGAAAACTTTAGGTGGATAGTTCTGTGTAACCCGTTCTACTGCGGCATATTAGCTTTGTTATTCTATTGCCTTCATCAGTTTTTGTGCTATTTTTGTGATATAATATAAATATATACTGAAGCGGTTCGCGCCAGGGTTACAACAGTATGCTGTCCTAAAAACATCAAAGCAGAAAAAACACCTCAGCATACTGAAATACTGTGCATCACACATGTGAGTATCATTGTGACATCATTACCTCCTACCAGTAAGACTCTTTTGCAGTTAAATATCTAAATTCAAGCTCAGTTCATATTTACTTGATATATTTACTTTTGAGGTAGGCTAATATGAACACTCAGGCCAATAAAACCAGTCTACAAGTAACGTCACCTTCCTTGTCTTGTCTTGTTTTGCAACCAGTCACAACCTGATAATTCCATCTCGCTGTGACATCTGCTCGCGCATACAGACAGTGGTTCCCTCTGCTTTGATGCTTGTGACGGCAAACCACGAGTTATATTTAGGACTTACTACTGAGCTGAACACACCGGAGTGGGAGCTATGTTTCTGCGGTACTTTCGGCTTCAAATGGTTCCTACAGTAGATGAGAACTATGTACACGGTACAAGTCCTTTCCAACTTTTCAGTTGGTCTTCCTTCTGAGCTCATTTGAGAGACTAATGGGTTTAGTTGCGGTATAACAGATTTTAATGTGGCTTCCAACCGTTTTTCTTTTTATCACCCATCAAAGTGACAGTATTTTTATTGGAGCTCATAAACTATCATAAGTTGCCCCCTCTCCTTTTTAACCTTTAAAGCTACTTTTATTGTTTCAGTAACATCGCTGCTCTCTCTGTTTTTTTGTTTTTAATGGTTCTCCCACCGTCTTCTCTTGTTCAGCATTTGGTGGGGGTAGCACCCCCTTTAAAGGCTCTTTGGGATTTCTTTGTTCCAACCGGACATTTATTTTATATCTTTTGAAAGTGTGAAAGGTCATAAAGTTTAAACAATTAAAACTCAGCATTACAAAGTTTCATGGGGCCTCACAAATTCTAACCTGTGCTTTCTATTCGATACTGCACATTGATTTTTATGACAGCAACAGTTTGACCCTGAACAGGTTTTCTATCATCTATGGCACAACTTTCTGCTATGATAATGTAACAGGGAAACTTCGCACCTTTGACGTGCAAGCTATTTTTTACGAGATGTCATTGATCAAACTTTGTGTATATTATCAGATGAGGCAAAACCATTGCAGCCTGTACACCTCTTCAAAGGTTTTGAAGCCAAGTTTAGATCCACAGTCAACTAACAATCACATTTCTCTACCATTCAGAGTAAGTTGATGACCTTTACACCCACGAATTGGGGGAGAAACAAGTCCTTCCTGCCTTTATTCACGATCCATTCCCAGCACTTTCCCGCTATGGAACTGGGATGCCACCAGTATGGAATGGTGACGAGTGAGTGGAAGCTCTGGACTGAATCATTTGGCATCTTAGCCACCAGGTTGTGACAGGTTGCCATACATCAAAGGCGTTTAATGAGTTTGTCCTCCACGATGCCCCGTTTCCCATGACGTGACGGAATACACCTCACAAACCGTGTGCCAGCATTGTTGAAAAATACACCATTTACGGGCACATCATCCACAGATCCAAATCCAACGTAATCTCCACAGAAGGCCGAGGAGAGCTCCTCTTGTCTGTTTCCCTCGTGCTGGGTAGCCTCATATATAACTCAATAGTTACACTGAGGAAAACCTCTGAGTCGTGAGCCGTGTTTTGTGTTGCTGGATTGCCATTACGTTGCTTCCCCTCAGTGTAGCTGTTCGGGGTGCAGTCCAAGTACTTAATGGGGGTGAGGTGACGTAGATCAAAGCCAGCACTGTCAATGTTTCCATCCAGGGACCCTTCATTATCCCGCCAGTGTACAAGTGTGACATTCCTGTGGGATTCCAAGCAGCCACCGGGCAGGTTCATGCCGCACGCGTTTTAATTAGCCTTTCACTAACGAGATGCGTCTCTCCCACAGATCAAAGTAGAAAACCAACAAGACTTCCAGGATATCACTAGTGTGGTGGCTCTGGCTGGGACCTACGCCACCACCGAGCCCTACGTCCGGTCCAAGTACGATATCCGCATCCAGAAGATCGGCAACAACTACAAGGCGTACATGTAAGAGGTTTCACTCTAACAGTGGGGGCCACCAACTTTGACCCTGTGTGTGTCCCACCGAAGGCATTTAAGCTAATGTCTTCAGATTTAGCCAACGTCACATCACAAAGTCCGTCTTCTTCTCGTGCCAGTGGAAACAGCACTTGAAGTGATGGTGATATAATTCGGTGATATGAATACATTTACGATCACTGGCACATCACATCTATTTCAAATAGTTGAGTCGAATAAGACAATGACAATATAGTTGTGAGGTGTAATTTATAGACCTTTTAAAAGTAATGAAATGTGCAATGCAGGAGAGAATAACTGGCCAAAAGTTCTACAATAGCTCCAGACAAACAAATCAATTTATCTCCTCAGTCACTTGTACAAGTAGCTTCAACTAAATAATTTATTTAATTTTATTTTGAACTAAAATTAGATCCGCAATGGCTGACCAAGCTTATTTATTTTGTCAAATTATATTGGGATCAAATATAATCAAATAATCACCTTTGACCTATCATACAAAAAATAAGGTTTTAGGTTCATCTGTTTAAGGATTTCAATTTCTTCTGACTGCATTGTATACCTCTGAAACCTTTTTACATTAAGGAGAGCAAATGAGCCGTTCTTCTTGTGATTCAGCTCTCTCTGCACTCACCCATTCCACCCTTTAAAACTCCCACACCCATTTGGACGTAAGAGACCTCCTTTAAATTTAGCCAAGCGTGTTGCAACCAAGTATATGAGTCAACAAGTCTCCGTATCTAAACAATCACTTGACCAAATGCCGAGCAGCGGCGTGGCCAAGCCTTATCTCATCTGGCTTTCCCCTTGGCCTCGCCATGAAAGCAGGTCTTTAAATGTTCACAAAGACACAAACATACTGTCGGTGTGGATGGAGATCACCGTCACATCTGGACCGACGTGGGCTTTTCTATTCAGCCCCACTTCCAAGGGTTGTAAGTGACCAAGTCACGGTGGAGCTTTCTAGCCGCAGGCAGGCTGATTAATTACTCCGTGTTCCTCCTTGATTTGCAGGAGAACGTCCATCTCCGGGAACTGGAAGGCAAACACAGGCTCTGCCATGTTGGAACAGATCGCAATGACAGACAGGTGAGATCTGAGACACTCTGGCCACAACTATCTTTTATCTCTTTTACACACTGGAGGTTGCTAAATCTCCCATTTATTACTTTCACATTCCTTCGCACAACCTCCTTTTTGAAGGTTTGTACCGAAGTTATCGGGTGGTTAAAGGTCACTTCGACTCCCCAAAAAGTGAAGAGTTCTTCCACTAATTAGGACGATTTCAAAATAATGAAATAATAAAATGATATTTTGGTTTCACACAGATAACTTGATTGCTTATAAGTCTAGTTTGAGAGGTTTCTAGTTGAAGGTTATTTGTAATTGTCCAACCCCATGACATGTCCAGAACTATCGGCTCTTCAATACTGGGTTTAACAGTCAAGGGTGTCACTGTGTTCCAGATATCGGCTGTGGGTGGACTCCTGCGCAGAGATGTTTGGTGGCCTAGACATCTGTGCGGTGAAGGCCGTCCACGGAAAAGACGGCAACGACTATATCATCGAGGTCAGTTTGTTTTCGCGACAGTCCTCTACTTGAATTTGAGCGTGCTCGATGGGAATTTCTATCAGAAACACATCATATTTGCACCGTAAGTGTATTCAGGGAACACTAAGGTCTATGGTGTGATTCTAATTTCTTTTCAGCGGACCAGTTGTTAGTAGCATCAGCGGGTTCAGGCTCCTTCCCGGCTGATAATATTCCTACGGTAATAGCCAGCAGGGAGGGGTGTAGCCAGACTTGAGGGCACATGATCTTCCAACCCTTGAGAAAATGATTAGGTAGACCAAACACAGGCAGGAGAACAAAAAACATCGGGAGTCAGCTGGTGACTCACAGCGTCTACCAAAGCTGCCTGTTTATTTTGGTTTCCGCTGGCAAAGTTTGGTCTCCCTCAAGCACTTTCGGGCTTGTACACAGATAAAGTGACTGTTGGTGGACCTGCCACAGACAATTTGATGGAGATTTTCCTTCTCTTTAGTTGTTTTGTCCCCCCGATGGGATGAGCATGGCGGTAACGCTGCCTGGGACGGAGATCCCTTCCAACTGAGGCCTCCTCCTCACACATTGTTAAAGCTGCTCTAATCAGACTTTCTTTCCAACGGACTGACCTCTCATTCTGCTATCACTAGTATATTACTACCACATTATCGGCACAACAACTGTTAATGAATCGTTAGATTGCACGGTAATGACTGAGTAGGAGGATCCAAGGAGGGGCATTTTCCTGTAGATAGATAGATAGATACTTTATTGATCCCTCAAGAGGGATTATAGCCAGGATGGAAGAGAAATAGTCCTGTAGTCAGCTTTGTTTTTTCCACCGTGGCCTCTTATATGTCCTCCGATCACGGATGTCTGATGTACCCATATTTGGCTCGGGACCGTGACATCACACTTGGGCACCAGCATTGAGAAAGTAGGCCTAAATTTCTTATTCGATACCAGAACATCTCACAGCCCCCCAGAGATGTGTACCCTTATAGCTAGACAGAGGAACTGATGACATAGTCGAGTAACAATGTTCTCTCCAACGCGCAACCCTTCCTCCTCCTCATCCTCCTCATCCTCCTCCTCTGTTCTATCTTGCTGTCTGCCTCCAACCCTTCAGCATGATAGAATTTAATTAACCGCGACAGGGAAGAGCTGCCGGATCATCACAGTGGGAATCTGTTTTTTGTCCCAGACAAAGACATCAGCCTTGACACCTCTCCCTAATGAAAAGTAATGAGCTGCTCAGAGGCACTTCATTAACAGTTTACGACAGCCGGTATGAACACTGAGCAAACTCCGGCTTTGTTTCCATTCACTGTAAACGCGTGCAGACGACTGAGGAGGCTGTGACAGGACAGGGTATCCCATGACAACGTGACACAGCATTGTGTCAAAAGGACATGATGGTAATTACACAACATGACAAAATGACAAAAGAGAACGGACGTGACATGATGCAACATAATAATGAGATGTATTGTTATCACTTTCAGCATTCCGTCTTAGATCAGGTCAACAATTCAAATTTGTCCACAACTAGCAACACCCGCATTATTGTGCTTTCTAGTCTTCTACAGGGATATAGTTGCTTGTTAGTTTAAAGAAGATTAAAATACAAAACACAGGACAAACTACTAAAATATTATTTAAATTTGGACCATTTTCCCACCTTATAAGGACATTTTGCTTCTCGCGATTCCGTTCAAAATTATGAATGCAGGAATTTAACTTCTAATAGTTTTATACTGCTGTTTTACTGCTTTGATGGAAGTTAAAGCATCTCTTTACTTCATAATACTGTAATAAGATCTGGTAGAACGTGATGTTTTATTAGAGCACAGTCATGTCAAGTATTTTTTGGCACAGGATATTAGAAAGTGACCATTTGGAAAGAGCCATGGGCCTTTTTCAAAACCACGACTTGGCGAGACAAATTAATGGACAACAAACACACGACATGATTTGACACAAAACGTGGACATACTGGAGCTCCATACTGGAGATGCAGAGGCGATACCGTGAACATCATTTAACAATACACAGCTCACTGTTATTTCATTACCTCTGACTGAATCATTCTAGTTGTTTAACTAATAGGAGGGAGGAATACAACCGACTGCTGACACGTTTCCCAGGAAAACACCACCCGCTGCCCATCGCTGCACTCACGGCTGCACCGTGATCTTAATATTTCACATGTTAATCTCCGTGAAGTCTCCCGTGCATCCGGGAGCTGAACTGCAGCTCAATAAAATAAAAAAAAGAGGAGCAGAACAACACCTGTGTGTTCCTGAACAGACCAGTGGCCCGGGCCGAGTCTTCTGCTCCATGACCCCGTGTCATCATAAATCAACAGGGTGGATCCCGGCTCCGCTCGCCAGCGCACGCCGTTGGAAGTGGAGGCTGGCGGTCGCTTGCCGGGGCCTGCGCTCAGTCCCCTGTGGTAATGACTCAGCTGTCCAAAACACCGAGACACGCCCCGCCGAACCCTCGCCAAGAGGCCGGGCACACGCAGAAAAGGAAGGGTTCTCTGGTATTGATGGCGGTTTTGTTCCGGAACAATATTAACACACGGTTGGATCTCACGCAACTCTGAGAAACCGAGGGGGAAAAGCAGGAAGCCGACTTTAACAAAAATCTGGATTCATTCAATTCAAGCATGCATGAAAAAATCTGGTCCCAGTAAAGACTTTAGTTTTGTATTGTGGTTTGTCGTCTTTCCACGTGAAAAAGGGACCTGAATGAGCTTTGGTCAAGGACAGTTTGGTCCGGCCAGAATATATGTTGTTTCATATTGGATGAACTTTTACACACTCTGCAGAAAAGCACTCACACTTTCACACACTGGAGCAAAGAGAGTGGGGTTTGTCACAGTAGGCGGTTGAACAATCGATTGTTGATTTCCTATTTTGTGTGAATGTGCCACGTACGCCTGTCGGACCCGGTCTCTGGTTCTGCAGGTCCAGTCTTCGCTTACATCGCTCGAGTCCTAAACCATCAACGGTCAAGCAATTCCAATCAAACAAAACACCACGTCGCGTGAAATGTGGGGTTTTATGTTTACAAATGAGGCTGGAATTGCTCTTGAGGTACAAATTGAGCCTTTCGAATTAAGTGCGTGTCCCTCAACCGGAGAAAAGGTTGAGGCCTTTAAGGGGGGGCGACCGGGCGCAGTGTTGCAGTGTTTGTTTGGCCCGCAACGCGCGAGAGGATCAGCAGCATCGTGCATCGTGCATGGGGCGAGAGGGGAGGGGGCAGTGAAGCGGCGTCATCCACCACACCAGGCGTCCACATCTGAGCCGGCAGTGCCAGAAGCCACAGCCCTCTGCTGCTCATTTGTTTTGGTCTCTGAAAGCTCCTGTGCTCTGTGGCACGTGTGTTTGCATGTGAGCTCAACATGTGGGACTTTTTTTTTCTTTGAGGCTAATTATTTGGGAACGCCGTTGGATGTGGTCTGTGCCCATCCAAGTCATTCGCCAGGCGACGTAATATTTACGAATGGAGTCACTTTCTTATCTGCTGCTCGCTGGTCGTTCCTCCTTCGTCCCATTGGACAGTGGCATATGGAAAGATAGATAGATTTTTTTCAGTTCAAATGTTATTTTTTAGTTTACATCCATCTATACAAACTACCCTGCTACCCTCTTTATACTTTGGGTCATGATATTTATTATCAGATGATTTAGCAGGACTGATCCAGGACAAGTGTCTTTCTGAGGAATAGGGTAGAGCACGGAGACAAAAAAAATGAAAAGTCAAAGTCAGGCTCAGTGCATGCAGCAACAAATTATATTAACGACCAGCAGAGTGTTGCATGGCTTATATTGTCTGGACTCAATAATGACAAACGATGTTCAAAATAAGAGGGTAACACTGCCATCTAGTGCAATAACACTTCAGTGCCATGCTGAAACCACCCGAACACCGTGGTTGGCTCTTTTTCTGTCTCTGTAGGTGATGGACAGCTCCATGCCACTGATCGGTGAGCACGTGCAGGAGGATAAGCAGCTGATCACAGAGCTGGTCATCAATAAGATGACCCAGGTGCTTCTGGGAGTGTCCACACCTCAGCCCTCCTCTGTCAAGGTACATTATATCTGACAGGTGATCTTTTATATGCATATAGAATAACCTGCTTTCAGCTAAAGGAAAGAATCCCCCTTTTTCCTAACCCTCTGCATACAAGCCCTACTTCCAGCTTAACTGCCACCTGCCACCTATTTACATTCTGCATTGCTACCATTGAGGCCACTGAGGTCCTTGGTCACCTGGGGTCAGTTTACACTACGATGAAAATGAATGCAATATATTACAATACAAAATAAACACGTCTGATTATGTCTAATATGTGTTTATCTATATGTAAGCAGCTTCTATACGGTAACCACTATTACAGCTACTTCTGCTGAGGTATCTGCTGCTGTTACTCAGCCTTCTTATGTTCCACTTGAATCTCAACAACATCTGTGAAGCAGAACTTTAATATGTCTGTGTGCACAGTTATGTTCAGGTGGTGTACCATTAGCTGGTTCATGCATAAACATTCAAAATCTCATCCCCTGCTCTGATATCGCTGTATCATTCTCCATCCACAGACCGCACAACCCAGGCGAGGTAGGAGACACTTCTTTGTCGTTGTTGTCGTCGCTTGTGTATTACTGCGACGAAGTGCTCGCGGCAGCAGTGCCTGACACACACACATGTAATTTGTGTGTACCGACAGCAGGGGGACACCACTCCGCCTCCGCCTCTCCATCTCAGTCGGCCCAGGGTTCCCCTCAGCGAGCCCGATCCGCCTCCACCTCACCCAGCCAGGCCTTCCAGCCCGGTCCGCTCCCCCCCGCCGCCGGGCCCGGCGCTCCTAAACCGTCGCCTCAGCTGAAGTGCGTCCGCGCTGAAAAGCACGGCACTGTGAAACCAACATTAATGAGTGCTGAATGTTTATTGTGTTCTCTTTACTGCGCAGCAAGTCCCAGTCGCTGACCAACACCTTCACAGAGACGTTGCGAGGAAGCGTGACCGACGATGAGGCCAAAGCCGAGACCATCCGCAGCCTCCGACAGTCCTTCGCCAGCCTCTTCTCCGACTAAAGGCCTCCCGGGGGGCTTCCTCCTTCCCGCCGTTGTCAGGTTTGAAAGAAGAAAAAAAACCTGACCGGTTGATCTGTTGTGGAGTCTCCCTCCCTCCTCAGAGCCCTTCCTGCTCCTTCCTTTTCCGTCTCACCGTTTGTGAATTTTAACACCTGGTGCCACGCTCTCCCGTCAGATCAATGATTGATCTATCACTAGAAAGGCCAATAGATGAGAGCTACGCCGTGGATGTCAAACTTTAAATGGACTTGTTTGTCCTCCTGACAGCCGGGAGGTCCATCCCCAAAATACAACTTTTACTCAGATTGATGAATGTGAGTGTTTTATCTTTGCTGTTCCTTCCAGTCAGGACCGGTTGTAGGCATTGATTGTTTTCAAGAATCTCGTTGTTTTATTTTTGTGAGTTTAATGTTAAAACAAAAATTTACAGCATCGATAGAAACATTTGAATTGCCTCTAGAATTTGGCCTTTCTAGTGATAGATTATTTTAATAAGTAATCATCTTTGTATATGGTTGTCGTTCTGCATTCTGTTTGTCAACTTGTGAAACTGTTTTTTATTTTATTTATTTGGTTCTTATTAATTTAAAATATATGTACATATATATTAATACAATTATGTATTGATGAAATCAATTGACCCACAGCATCCTTACTGTTTGAAGATGTCTAAGGCAATATTCTTATTTAAAGCTGTTCCAGTCTGCTCATGAATAATGTACTGAATCCTCAAGGTTCACCAGCGATTTTAAACAGCCGCATTTCTCAGATGTCCATGTGAATATCACCCATATTGGCTCACACAGCGAATCCTCTAACCAACACTACCAAAGTGCTTTTTGATAAAAACACAACAGCCCCCCCCCTCTTGCCGCTGCAGTGGGTGAAGAAAAGAATCACACAGCGAAGCAACCTTTGAGCTTGTGATTTCACAAAGTGCACAAGGTGCAGGCGCTGTACTGGCTTACAGCCATTGTCTTCCATCACGGCTCAGATCTTCCCCTGTAGTTCTTCTTAGTGTTCACGGTTGGCTTTCTGTGGGGAACTTGTATCCAAAAGACTACTGCTGTGTGTGTAAAGGTGAACAGTGAGGATGTATCGTGGGACTTTTAACATGCTTGAATTTCTACTGAGATGGAAAGGAGATTTGCTCGTGTCACATCACATCTTTATTCTCCTTTATAGAGATTATCATCATTGTTTTGTTTTTTTGTTCTTGGCCATCTGCATTGGTTGGTGCCAAAACTTCCTCTTTCATCACGCTTTTGAATTGCATGTAAATGTTAAGTGAATGTCACACGTACAGTTGTTATTTTCTAAGGCTGTGAACTCATCTGTTATACAAAGACATCTGTAAGCAATGGTTACACTATTTTATGGGTGCTGCGGTTTCTTAATAATTTCCCAAGAATATAAATATAAAATATAAACTATGTTGACTTTATGTATTTGATGGGAGAGAATTTTAAGCTACCTGTGGCTTTATTTGACCATGTACAAAGTATGAACACTGTCAACATTTTCCCTAAAATTAGCACTGAATTAAGGTCTTTTAAAGGAAAATTGGAATTTAAAGGAAATAATTAAAAAGACGGTAAAATTGTCAACAAGATTTTCTCTCTTAAAAAAAAAAGAGATGGACGGTATAATTGTCGTTTCATTCAGATAACAATCATATAATGTGTAATCTCATCAGATTGGCAGAAAGGCTCTATAGTTATCTGTGCTGCAAACTGAATACGTCTATCACGTTTTTCATTCAGAAAGAAGTAGTAAAAAGGAGTAAAAACATTATAATAGTTATAATACAAATTTCCTCCTATTTTTGTCCAAATTGTTTATTTGGACATGTGTGAGAAGTGTATGATTACTGATAATAAGGTTGATGGTTTTAATAATAATTCCCCCCATTTTTAGGTAAATCTCATTCAAGTGCATGAAGCTGTATAAATATAAAAGTGTTGTGAAAGGGTGCACATGTGTGTGACGTTGAAGTTGTAAATGTATGATTAATAATGATTCTACCACAAAAAAGAACTGCACATTATTTGCAATAATTACGTTGATCATAAGACAAGATAATTTAATTTTAAACTATGAAGCTTCTGTCTTTGAGCGAGGCCCTTTTTTTTACCATGCTTTCATTTGATACTTTGCTAGTCTCACTGGTGCAAAGATAAATATATTAAATATTATTTGTTAAATAAATATGTGCTATTATGTGTGACTGACTATGTGCGCAAAATACACACGACGGTGTGCTTAACTAAAAAACGTATCAAGCAATCATATCAAAAGGAGGGGAAATAATGTTATTTTTTCATTAGTGGGTGGAGCCACAAATTACAGTTGTTACGCTAATGATTGGTTTGCTAAGTCCCGCCTTTTTAGTTACTGTTGCTGCTAGGTCTGGAAAATCGCGCAAGACTCGCTGCCCGGCGACAAATCTTAATCTTAACCAATCAAGGTCAATGCCTTATCTCAAAGGTGCAATAACTACAATTCATACACGTGAGCGTGTCTCAACGCTGTTCGCTCTGTTGTTGTCCACTGGCTCGTAGCGTTCGCCAATTCGAAGTTTACTCTCTTGTCCAAAACCGTTCACCATTCAATGATGTTCAATATGCACCTGATGGCTCCATACTTGATATTGTGCCAAAAATTCTAAATGTTAAAGCCTTTAAGATGGCTTTCGCATATACAATGCTATATGCCTGTGTTGGCAGGGGTTTATTCCCCCTATCTAATATAAAGTAGGACAGACGCTAATGTTAGCCTTCACTTCATGTAGCATGCAGAATTAGCTTCACCCGGGGGGCAAGGGAACATTGTGCATTTTGTGCGTCTTTGGCAGTGCCGCCCCGCCTGGTTACGGTTGCCAACATTAGACAAACGCTGTTCAGGGGTTTGGGTTTAGAGATTGGTCATCTTGCACAATCAGGAAGTCTGTGCTAGTGATATTTTCCTTTATTGTCGTGGGGATGGTTTGAAAGAGGCAAAATTTTGATCCGCAGTCATTTCTAGTGTCTTGTTATTGAGCACTTTTGCAAGCCTTCCATCACCTTTGGCATCCCGTCAAAATGGTCCAAATTAGTTTAACATTGCGAGACCCGCTTGAAGGTGTAAATCACGTTGTTTTGTCTTTGTTGTAAAGACACCTACCACTTAGTATATAATACTGCAGTGTAATAAGCCATATATAAACCTTAAGGATTTACTATCCCTTCAATGCGACGCAATAATGGCTATGATGTCACCAATATATTGATTTAAATCACTGTGCCCATTCACTTTAAAGACGTTAGGAGGCCTGTCCTGCGCTTTTTGAGTCAGTAACTCATAAATCATTAACCACGCAGCTTAGGTGTGTTTTGCCAGTACTTCTCTCAGGACGACAGATGTCCCCAGTGTAGATTTGCTTTTTATTTCAGCTGTTGCCAATTTGCCAACAAACCCTAATACTTTTGATTTGACTCTATTGGAACAGAGCTGCAAAGGCGATGAGTAACTACCTCAAGTTCAGCAGTGCTCTGCAATAACTGACTCTAGTGTGGTAGTACCGGAAAACATTTTGTGAAATGAGACACCCATGTTAGTGCCCCATCAGAGGAGAGGGATTAGTTTGTGAAAAGTGACGTCACGCTGAGGAAGATGGCAGCGAAGCTGTCCTGCAACATCCAGCCATATTCTGCAGGATGGAGACTATGAATGCCTTGCATGTAACAACTAGCACAGTGGTCCCCAACCGCACGTTAAGAGGACAATTGTAAACGTGAAGAAAAACGCTCGGTGACACTTGGGAAATATGTCAAGAGGGACGAGTGCACATAATTAGGAGAGAATCCGGTTAATTTTCAAAAAATTTCAAAACAAAAAAAAATAGTCTTTCTGTGGTGCGGGCCGGTACCAAATGGCCCACGGACCGGTACCGGTCCGCTGCCGGGTGGTTGGGGATCACCGCACTAGCACATTATCACCCCCTCTCCCCAAATTTGTAGGTCTTTTTAAGTACTTTCATTTGATAGTAGGCAAACAACAGTTGTGTACATTCACAACAGGTTTATCTGGCCTTTGTTACCTGTTTTTGTTTTGTTCTGCGGTGGACATCAGAGCAACAAGTCTGAAAGGAATTCTCCCACCAATAAGACAATGAAGCTAATTTCCAGCCGGCCTCCTGATGCTTTTAACACCGGAAAACCTTCTCTATCTCTCTAAAAAAACAATTTATGTTGTCACACATGCCGCATCCCTGTTCTATTACAGTGGGCTCTCATTTCACAAAATTTCAAAAAAGTTTTCACTTCACTTTCACTTCGCTTTCTTATGTTTAAAAATCAGTTCAAAATGATGATGAATGATGTGACATTTCTGGATCAGGGCCATTTTCTTCTATGTTTACTCTCTTTCATTACGTTTTCTTCTTCTTTCAGCCACGAGGTGGTTGAGTGAGGAGCTCCGCTTCAAATGTGGTGTTTCTAAATGAGAGGCAAAATATCATTGCACTGGTTTAGTTGCTGATCCTTCAGTCCACTGTTCCCCCTCCTCTCTGCTGAATGGTGGATGGTGTTGTACGGTATTTTAAGTGTATAAACGTTCTGTAAATGTGGCATGAAAACCAACCCCCTCTTGTGTGCCTCAGGTTGTCAAGTGATCTTAATGTCTGGCTGCTTAATTGTGAGACGTGCGTTGCATCTCATGTATTCTTGTAATTTCTGAGTGTTGAGACAATTTTGTTCTCTGTATTTTTTGTTATTTTGTCTGAAAACCAAGATTTCTGTTATTAAAAGGTACCAACTTTTATTATACCTGTGGCGCATTCCAGTCTCTATCAGTCATCCGCAGCGCTCCTCGTCTCCATTTATGGTCACAGCAGCAGAGGTCCTGGCTCTCGCTCTGCTTTTTTAAAAAGCACTGTTTCAAACACGCAACATAATATGTGGGGATAATCTCCAAATCCCCTTGTTCTAGGATTACCTCCGTAATTCATTTGTCTTGGCATGAAGCGCGGAGTGTTACGAGCTGACTGGCAACACGAGGCCATGGAGAGGGAAACCTGCTGGGCTTCAGCGCGGCCTTTCATCTGCTGCCCGCTTAACGTCGAGCCCTCAGATGAACGAGGCACTAATGTTACAGAGACAATATGAAACACATTCAGTCATGAATAATGTCACCGCACGTCCACATGTTATTGCCGTTCTAACGAATGGCATAATCGCGCGGATATTTGTGATACCACATGTCTGAATGTGCCTGAAAGTGGCGTAAAACAATAGTTTACACCACTTTAACAATAAAACAAGTATGGCGAGTGTTTTAACCATTGGTGGATAACCTCATTGCTATTTTAACCACTTGGGAGCAACAAGACAAGTGACACAATACCAATTTTTCCGGATTGTGTAAAGCTGCCATCATTGTTTTGTAATTATGTTTTTCCACAACATTGACGTAGAGTATTATTAAGCTGACATATTTGCAAATAGTTTGTACATTTCTCCTCCTGCAGATATTGAATAGCATTTAAATGCTCTATCTGCGACTACAATACGTGTTATTGGAATATCCTTATAAGGAAATCAGTACACCTTCTTAAATTAAGAGATGTTTCACAATGACCAACCTGTATACAGTACAACCGTCTGGAGGAGCTCACTGGGCAGATTGTGATGTGGTTAATCTTCATTTTTCTTGTGTCCTTCTTTCTAAATGTGTCTGGTGCTATTCAGAATACCAGAATGATTCCATGCAGCATCCCACTAATGACACACAAGGCACACAATGCCAATTTAGCAATCATCTGCATATACACGCTCTTTTATCCCAGATACATTCCTGGAAAACTTCCCCTAAACTCATACAATATACAATATGTAATAAAATTTAATATAATATAATAAGAAAGCAAATTAAATCTTCACTGTTATGTTTGCTCCATTTTGGTACCATTTGTTGCCTTGCAGCTGCTCTGATATAACATGGTAAAAAGCATGTTCTGTTTGAATGGAAACCACCACATGCCTGTAGGGAACAGTATGTGGAGGTAGAAGACTGCAGACCACCATGACTGCTTTCAACAGCAGTGTATTTACCACAGATTTAGAGATACAATACAGATCACGTTACATTGCGTTGCGTGTCTCCTGGAACTGATCCCACCTCCAACTTATGTCACTTCATTGCCGTTTACTACCACGCTGGTAAGAATTCACCCCACACAGTTTTTAAATTATCACTTGGATTCGATATTGTCCCGTTTACCCCTGAAACATCCTCAGTTTGTCCTGTGCTTTCACATGTGTTTCTCTGTCCGGGACGCGCGTTGCATACCAGGCCACTGGCAGCCTGATGGTAATCTGCTGCCAGTGCGATTTCTTGCATTCTTACGGTGGAATGTCAAATCTGTCATCTGGCACAGGTCTCTGCCTGCCTGCAAACAGTCCGCCTCGCCAGTCCATTTCCACCACCCTGTTTGGTACTGTTTGTAGGGAAGTAAACACCGATGTGTTTCTCCCTCTTCAGGTCCCACTTCAAAGTTCTGTTTTATGGATAGAAATCACAGGCACAGAGGGTTGACGGTGAATTAATTCAACCAGAAGGGGTCCAACCTTTTTTTACGTAGCTGATCTTCAGTCTCCTGTATTCACTCAATATTTTATATATAATATAAGAAACTTTCTCTGAGGTATAATGAGGTCCATTGGTAAGTTACCTATAACAAAAATCTATCTATCTAGGATCCAGGTGTGAGGTATTTTACCAGCCAAGTCATTTACCTGCTGAACAACCGGTCCATGGATTAAATAGACATATTTTATCAGCATCGTCCCTCTGTTGGACTTTACAGATTTTATGTGACTTTATGTTGCCACTCACAAACATCAGCTGACAGGAAGTAAACACGGACACAGGCTGTTGCCTAGCTACGCAGCTCTGTTGCTAAAAGGGAGCCTTACGGAGCCTAAATACAATTATGTTCAGACAGTATGAGAACATGAAAGAATGTAAACAAAATAAAGTATGAACCAGGAAATTAACATGATATGTCTCCTTTAATGTTTTGTTGCTCTTGAAAACTGTTACAATAACACACACCCTCTTGCCCCCTTTTGGGTTCTCCCTCTTTGGCGTCCTCTGGTCACCGAGCACTTGAGACCGGTGAGATTGAGAAAAAGGATTCAGACATTTATGTCTATTCTCCACACGGCAGCGCAGAGACACTGCGTGACGCCACAGTCATTTTACTGTGGGTTCACCAGCCTCGTTAAAGAGACAGCCAACCTTCAGATATCTTCCACAGAGATACATGGAACATTCAATCAAATGTTTGAATCATTAGAACTCTTTATGACCTCTAACTCATATTAAACGTGCAGAATGTAGCAGACAAAACATGCCATATTTGCACCAACATGTCCAACCATTTGAGCCAACTTACAGTGTGTCCAGTCTTTGTGATGTTAATGAGAAGTCGTCAGTGTTTGGCCCTGAATTGACTGAATCAACTATTTACAATTTAGCACATCAAATATTAAACCTCTAAAAGTTGTACTATAGTACTATTGTATTGTACTATAGTAAAACTTTTAACAACGACTCAGGCACAGTGCCTAGGGAGTGGCACATCGGGGATGGTGGTACCTTTCTTCAAAAAGTGGGAGCAGAAAGTGCGTGCCAATTACAAGGTCAGCCTCTAGTAAAGTTTACTCCAAGGTGCTGGAGAGGAGGGTTCGGCCGATAGACAAACCACAGATTGAAGAGGAACAGTGAGGATTTCAGCTCTTCAACTCCGTCTACGAGTGTTTGTGGACCTGAAGAAGGCGTATGAGAGATACTGTGGGAGGTGCCACAGGAGGGCGGGGTGAAGGGGTCCATTTTTGCACCTATACTGTATGTGTATATATCATGTATACGTATATAAGTTACACCTCTGACTATAACACCTCTGACTAGTACTGCTGTACACGCAAAGTAACTTGTTATATATTATTCAAAGGAGGCATTAATAACCCTTTAATCAAATGGATATGTAGTTGTTACATGACACTACATGTGTTATTATCCCTGAAGAGCTCTGTCGTCTCTCTAAAAGAAAGACTTTTAGAAAAGGAGAGATCATTCATAAACAGCAGCCCAAGTAAAATCTGTAATTAAAATTTCAGAGGAAATTCTTATTTACCTTTGTTAGTATCCATATTTGACCAGCAGATGGCGCTAAACTCACTAACACGGTAATCACATGCCCTGACTTTGGGGCCTTGATCTTCAACCCGCACGAAATCGACTCGGCGGACGACCCCTGTTTGTTGATTAGATTCCCGCTGAGGAGGACAGGCCCACTCACGGAAACAAGTTAAAAGTAAGTCAGGGAAACACTCCCAGCAAAGCCTGGGGTCTGAATTGGCTTAGCTTGTGTTTTGTACAGCCTTGGTTTGTTTGTTTGTCTTCACTGTCTTGTGTGTGCTATTAGTGGACTTCCAGGCTGCAATTGCTGTACTTACTGTTCTGTATTTCCATTCTGCTGCTGTTGTATTGTGTCACTGAGACCGGTAACTGGGTCTTTGATCTGTTAAAACACAGAAGCGCTTTGTTTTGAGGTGGTGTGTGACTCTATAGTTTGGTTATTGGTCCCTGGTTGTCAGGGTTGTGCCCCTTTATTGTTCTTTGTGAATTATTTTATTGATAATTGTTGGAATGAATTAAGCATTCCAAGTCTTCGAATCTTTATTTCCAACTTATTCTTATTCTATTTCTTCCGCCGCACCTTTCAACTCCTTCAGCTATGAAAACCGTTCAAATCAGCTTTCAGCATTCCGCATTGTCAGCAGGAAATGCATTCTCTAGTATTAAGTTTCATATACACTATCTATAATGAAGGCCAGAGAAACAATAGCTCTTCAGTTTAATCAAAGCAGTATATGACGTTGTGTAAGTCAAGTTCACAGAAGGTTGTAATTGTAAGTGCTCCAAATTTGACTATCCACGTAAGATGCAGGCAACCAACCACAAGTTTCTGGTGCGCGCACATACACACACACACACATGCACACACGCACACATCAAAGTGCCATCGTAGCATTTATTTGATCCCCGATCATCACAATCACTAAATGAACTGTATGGTTGAGGGCGCGGTGGCAATATTTGAAGACTTGCTTTCAGCAAATGTCCTCCTTATAAGAGATCTTGGGTCGGCCACTTTTGCCACTTTTAGAAGTTCTGGGACTCTCGAGCTTCATCGATGACTAGCACAGGCTCTCTGTCTGTGCAGGTCAGATAGACGTGGGACAGATCCACCTTAAATGGTTGTGAGAGGCAGGGACAGAAGGAGACGGGAGGTCGACAATACATTGTCACGGAGGGAAAAGAGGGAAATATCAGTAACATCAGACATTATACAAAAAACTAATGTTGGGTAGGAAAAATAAATGTGTAAAGAACTCACATCTTTTTCTTTTTTGTCTGGGGCAGGGGTCTGTTTTCTGATATTGTTGCCAGTGTATTCCATGCTTTTCTGGAAGACACAAGGTACAGTTTTAAAGACAGACGCTAATGATGATTGATGATTGAATGATTGAAAAAAGTGTTTCATAACATCGTCAGTGGGAATTAGGTCACTCGTACCAGTCCAGGCATCGTACCACCCTGCTGATCTGACACTGTATGATACTTATAGGTTATGCTTACTTCTGATTTGGCAGCCTTCAGCATTGTCCACACTTTCTCCAGCTCCTTGGTCTTTCCTTGAGCCTCCTCCTGCAGACTAGTGGACTTCTCTACAATGTCCAGACGCTCTTGCTATTTTAAGGGGGAGAGGAATCACAAATTATGCACAAGTCAGCTGTGGCCTGTGACTGTGAATAGCCTTCATGCATTAAAAGGTAGAAGTCAAGATGTCTTTAAAGCGTTTTTTTAATGAAAACAAGAAATTCTTTTCAAATCCAGTTATTTGCCCTTTTGCATTTCCCTTAACCCAAATAAAGTGAGTTATAAGGTGAGCTTCTAACCACATTTTCCAACCACAAAGACGCAGCCATTCAGCGCAAATCACACCTCTTATACGGTAGATTATCTGGTATCTGATGTCATATTTTGGTTGTATGCTGCTGACGTCAGCTGAAAAAAGTGTTCAATATGATGTAACAAAAGGACACACATCCATGTAATGGTTTCCGAATGACAAAGTAAGGGAGCACTCCTGATCAGCTGATCTTATTTGGTAGTTGGATCCTTGTTTTTTTTTTTACCTCTTTCTCCTCCAGCTCCCTCCGCAGCTTCTCCGCTCTCCTGCGACGTTCTTCCAGTTTATCCAGCAGAAGGTGATGCTCCTGCCTTAGGAGTTACAGGAGGATCAGGTATTGACTGGGTCGATACCATATTACCACATCCAGTATTTTAAAGTAATATAGCGAAGACATCGATTATTAGATTTGTATCTTGGACATCAAAACTGAGCAAAAATACAATTTCTTCCAAGACTCACTGGACTTTAAGTAGGTCCTTCTCCCTCTTCTCCAGCTCTGCTCTGGCCTTGTTCCTCTCCTCCTCCGCCATGTCCAGCTTGGCCTCCAAAGCCTTTCTTTCCTCTTCAACCTTCTGCATCTCCATCATCTTGTCCATCGTCTTCGTTTTCTTCCTCCCTTGAGAGAGACACAAAAAACCACAGTGTTTTTAATTGTAAGTATTGTTTTTCAAATCTTTATTCAGACTTATTGTTTGAATGCATTAAGCATTCCAAGTATTGTTTTTCCAATCTTTATTCCAATTTATTGTTTGAATGCATTAAGCATTCCAAGTATTGTTTTTCGAATCTTTATTCCAACTTATTGTTGGAACGCATTAAGCATTCCAAGTATTGTTCTTCTATTCTTTATTCCGCCATCTTCTTCTTCTATCTTTTGAGGCTTCATTTTAGGTGAAAGTGATGGCATGGTTGTGCTGCTTGTAGTCATGTGGCTATGGAATCCCACAGTTCTTTAGTTTTGGCTTCAGGAGACCAACAGTCACACAACCTCTGCCAAAAGCCCCATGAAATCCAGTTTGCCAGTTTTAATGTACAGACACATGAACAGAGAATGTTTATTGACATTTTTATATGTGCTATTGTTTTTCCTAAATAAAATGTAGTGATTTACATTTTTGCATGAGCAATATATTACATGCTAATACTAATTAGCATGTAATATATATAGACGTTTTTGATTCACTAAATATGTATATGTATTTTAAATGTAAACAAATAAAATGGTTGTAATGAGGTCACTGTTTGCTTCATACTTGATACAATAGTGAGACTACTACTGATTTTTAAAACTATGCCTGCTGCTACAGTTACTGTTGTTATACAAATACTGCTACTACTACGACTGCTACCAGTGCAGCTCTTGATACTAATACTGCTAATATTACTCCTGCAGCTGTTACTACTACTTCCAATACTTTTTCTATGACTGCTATTTCTTCAAATTCTGATGCTAGATTTCAGTTCAGCTTCAATTATGCAATTTGTAAAGAGAGAACTACTATGCAACTACTACCACAACTGATAATACTACTGCTGATACTAATTCTGCAGACGCTGCTAATATCTCTTATTGCTAATATTGCTAATAGAACAGTTTTATTCTACCACGCCACTGATACTACTGTATATGCTAATGCTATTACTATCCCAGCTATCATTTCATCTAACAAAAACTAACATTGTATAATATAGTATAACATGTTTACTGCTGCAAGTACTTTTATAGTTTAACAGTGCAGCTTTTTAGCTTAGCTTTAGTATTTCAGCTCTTAGCTTTGTCAAATGCTGCAGTTCATCTTCCACACTGCCCTTTTTGAAATTCAACTATTATGTTTTCAACTATATTATTTTAAATTGATTTCATCTTTGAGCTTGCTGGTACTTTCTCATTGCTGTATTGTGAGCAAATCATTTCAGTTTTCGGCTTGCTGGTATGTTTTCGGATATCTGTATCTTCAGCAATTTTTTTTATTCATTTGAGCTTTTTGTATTTCTGTATTTTCAGCAATTGTCTATAGTTCATTTCAGCTTTCAGCTTTCAGCATTCCAACGTATTTTCAGCAGGAAATGCATTTTCTAGTTGATTTTATTGATGTCAAACATTTAGTTCTAGAGATTATTAGAAATAAACTGATGACTCGGTTCATGAATTAATAATCAATTCAATGCATTTAGTGAACACCAGGATACGTCCATGATTCTGAAACTGTAATCAATAAAGAAATAGGAATACACCACTGTAATTTTAAAACTGTAATCAATAGTATAATACCAATGCACATCTATGATTGTATGTTATGTAATGTAATCAACCAAAATACATGCATGTAATACTTGATAGCACAACTGATATTGACCGAGAGACATTCAAAATCTGAATTACATTGAACTCACCAGGAGAAGTCACATGCCCAGGGACGTGGTCTCTGCCTTTCACACCTCGATGACCTGTATAAATACCTGTAGGCACCCATTGTTCTAGGATCGTTCTAGGAGACAGTCACTGTGTGTGGTCAATGAGCTGCTCTGTGCAGCGGCTCCTCAGCTGAGATGTTTGTTATAGCACAACACCTTTTCTTTTTTTAGATCCTTTTGATTTTAACTCTTCAATGCAAGATGTCTTCTATCCGTCCGGACACACTACATTTCATAGTAGCTAATAACCGAACATTCTTCCAAACCACGGGCAAGACTTTTAGAAGACCTGGTGGTCTGGTGGGTGAACCCTGAATTTTAGAGTTTCCAAATTCTCCATTATGGAAAAAAAAACATATATATATATATAGTTTTATATATATATTGAATTTTGAATAACATTTGTTTACAAATATTTAGTTACTTAGTAAAAATAAATTCAGCCCACTCATATTCTTCATTCATTCATTCTCTGCTTGGCCACCATTGGCTGCATCTGATCACGCCACATTGCTTGGCGCTCAGTAGTCACCTTGTAGCTGTTATGATTGTCCGTCATTTGCAATTTTCTTTTAATCTTTCAATTCTTTCATACTAACTATGTCAAGCAAAAAAAGAAAGTGGTCGGACGAACACATACAATATGGATTTATGTGTATAAAGGAACGTAATGGGAGTCGTGATTTGCAAGGACAAGTTGAACAATAGTCGAGCACTGGCAAAACCTCCACTTCCTAACGCTCGCTGTTCAAGGTGAAGAGAGCCAGATTCTATCACAAGGCTGCTCTTGGTTTTGCACAAATCCTCACAGCATTGTACGGTGTTGTCTATGAATCCTCATTTCAGTGCTTCATTTTTATGCTGCAGGGAGAAGTGTGCAGCAGAGGCCTGGGGAAAGGGAGCATCGATTTTACAAGGCGGAGTGACACGTCTAATTATATTGAACTGTCTATTTCCATCAGCTCGATTTTTATGTCAGACCCTGAAGGTGCCAGCATGCAACAGAGGTTTAATCCACCTTTTAACCATTGTGATTGTGCACAAATGTGTGGGTGGGTTTGTTTTTACCCGTGAGTGTAGCATGTTAAGGACACTTAGCGAGTATGTGAGAGAAACCTACTGCACAACGGCGTCCTCGTCGCCATGGCGAGTACCTTTAAAATAATGAAAGGCCTTGATTACCATGGCAACTGCGATGCTTTACAGAAGACAGGATGGAGAGGGAAACCAAGAGTTCGAAATCCTCTACCTTCGCTTCTGTGGTTTCAATGTTTGTGAATATTAATGCAAACGGTGTCTCCCTCAGTGAGGATAACACACAGACATTGCTGGTTCCAGATTTTACTGTTTCTAAGAATGAATTTAATTAATTTCCATAGTGACAGCCGATGAATCCCAAAAGGGGGAATAAAAAAGATATTAAGACTATTAATATTAATGTACTGTACACTGAAGTATTTGACTATGATTTAAAATCATAAATGGTTTGTGTAGTGTACCACACAACGCTTTAGAGTCCATCCCCATGTATGCATGTCAATTAAAGATTTTATTCCACAACTAACATCAACGAAAAAATGTGCACACTTTTTCAGCAGGAGGGAGGGGGGGGGGCTGTTATAATGATAGGGGAAACACTGCGTCATGTGCTCGACTGGCTCCACTTTAAAAAATAAATAAGAAGAGATGGTCAATATCCCTCAAGTTTGTTCATTTAGTCTGAACCTGGAGCCAGAAGATGGTTCGATAAGCGTAAATACTTAAAGCTTGTACGATTATTTGTATGAAGTATCTGGAGGAATAATCTGTAATACTTTTTTTCAGGTTCTAATTAAAATGTAGTTTATAAAGAGCTCAGACTTGGGGAAGAAAAACCCTCCCGTAAGGGATAATAAATAACCACAGTAAATGTCATGGCACTAGTTTGAGATCTCTCAGTAAACAGGAAGAGAAAAGTGGGAAAACAGGATAGAAATATTTTATTTTTGTCACCTATATACTTACTTATGCACGTATAAAAGTATTGCATGTTTGACTGATTGGGTATGAACTTGAGTCTCCATGCCTGTTCCACAAAAAGTATTCGTCATGGCAACCATGACAGCCTGTAGCTGATGGAACGCTAACACTGTGACAGACTTATGGTGTTTTTCTTCTGGAAAGCGGATGTTCTGTGCAGCACTTTGGAAATAAACTGTCCAAGTTGAACTCAAACAGGCTGTCAGTGTGTCTCCAGCCCCCTCAGGAGAGAAGTATGTCCTGTTTGTGAGAGGAGAGCCTGTTTACAGAGGGACCGTAGCCCCTCTCTGTAGGTCTTTCATTTCCTCTGCTACGAACCTCTGATGCTTTCCTTTCCACCACTGTTCTGCAACTCTTGGAAAATTTCATCAAGAGGGTTTTGAGCTACCAAATAAGATCATACAAAAAATAAGTTACGATACGGCGCATGTGGACATCTCTTTCTTGGATTCGATTTTTCTCCTTTTATCAACATGACATTGTCGTCAGCTTCGTCTTTACTAACATTGCCAGAGCGAGAGAGCCACATGCTCAAGTCAAATTGGACGGCGGAATATTTTTCTCAGGCTCAGAAATTTTTGGTTACTCCTTTTTGGACTCCACTGCTTTGAAGATGGTGTTGTGGGTTTGTGACATCTAGGTTTATTGGCAGTCGGTCCGTCTGCGTTTGGGTCCCTCGCCCCCCACATGACAGTCCTGTCACATCAGGTAGTATCTGTTTGTTGGATATTGGTGTCGGTCTGTTAGCCAATCAGTGACGAGCATAACGCACACAGTGCCTAGATGGGTTTATTAGAGATGAAAGTGACACAGAACTTGAATTTGAAAATGTCTTCCTTTGAAGTGGAACCCATGTGCCCAAACCCAAGTGCTGCATAGAGAGCCGGATCTCAGGTAGCACGGAAATATTGATGCTGTCAAATTTCTCATAGCATGCTCTTGGACATTGTCATCGCCTCATAGCAAGAAGTGGCCTCTTCTCTTCACCCTCCCCACCACCATTTGGTATCTCACTGTCCCCTCCGTCCATCTCTCCTATGCAGCGACGAAACAGATGAGAACTGTGTGAACTCGAACCCTGCGTCACATCCACCCCATCCCTCTAGCAAAGCCCCTTCTGACATAAGAACTGTGTTTCTGGATCAGTCCCCTAAATGAGATGGAGAAGTGGGTGCACAGTGCCTTGAATTCACGGCCGCGTTTTTTGCCAACGTTGCGTGACATGTACACCCCCCCCCACCCCCCTCCACCACTATAGCATCACCATTTGAGGCCAGAGTTGTGCCCCAGTAACTTCAGATTCTTTATTCTAAGGGCATTTCATCCAAAAATCTTTGGTAAGATGCATTGACTAGTATTTTTATGTTAACAGTTGCTGAAAGGACGAGGCTTTCTGTGGAAAGGGTTGCTTGTAGTGAACAAAGTCCAGCATTTGTCATTTAAAGGGCCGGATATTTGCCTCAGTTTTGGAGAAACCTTGTTTGAGGGACAGTGAATATTTAACTTGAATTAATCAGGTGACCAGAGGGGAATCTAAGTGAAATCTAGTGCTTCTCTCTGTCTGGATGCGCAAATAAGTAATTGTACTAATACGTTATTCATGTCAATTTAGAGATAACACTGTGTTAGGGTTTTGTTTTAGCTTGTTTGGCTGCTGAAAAATAATGGATTTTATTAATTAGTAATTGTATAATTTTTTTTTACATCAAATCTGGAATGGGTTTTCTCTTCTTCTTATTTGTGTGTGTGTGTGTGTGTGTGTGTGTGTGTGTGTGTGTGTGTGTGTGTGTGTGTGTGCGTGTGTGTGTGTGTGTAAACTGAAGAGGGAACACGACTGGTTTAAAAAACAGTCTCAACTCATTTCATCTTGCAGGGATGGGGTGGGGCCGAGACGGCATGATATTGTCCTTTTGATGGTCATCGACTGGTCAGGATGTGGAGGAGCATTGTGGCTCCTTTCCCAGGTCGTTATGGGATTTTGGCCTCCAGTAATTATCCGCCAGATAGCTGGGCCACTCCTTTCTGCTTCACACAAACTAAAGAAAGACGTTTTTGTCCCGTCCCTGAGTCAGCAAACTCCTTCAAGAAACAGGGTGTATTTAGTGGGAGGTTTCTTTTTTTTGAGACAGTATTTAGACAGAAGTGGCTTATGGTTTTACATTTTCATGTGAAGTAAAAGAGCATTCGTTTTAATTTCAGCCCTTGAGGCAATAGAAAGAAAAGGGAGTGTCTCTTTAAAATCCAGAAAACTGCTGAAATGGTGATCTGTACCATAGCAGGAATCCACCCAGTCCTGCCAGTGATTGTAATATGATAGGACAGTGTGCCAGAGTAAGAATCAACTTCAATAACTGTTTGCTTTATGTAGTTTTGCCAATTACAATGCTGGTTGTGCAAGGATGACTATCTCAACTGATACTGAAGGAATTATCTTGAAGGCCTCAGGATCATTGATCTACTGATTTGATGTGCTTCAATCCAAAAAAAACCTGAAGGTTGCTGCCTGGCATCATTCTGCAATAATGTATGTAAATAATAAAGTTTTTAACTGTTGCAGTAACTGTCGTAAGAGAGAAGATAGTTGTGCTCAGCTATATTAATGCCCTGAACTTCAAATCTGGCACTTTGTAGAATAAGTTAGGTGAATTTAAGTCTGGTGTTGGTGTGGCACATTCCCGTATGCGTCCAAAAAAACGATTGGCATATGCCCTTTTAAGAAAGCCAGATGAGCCCGAAGGTGCAACTAAGCACTCTAAATGTTAAACAGTCTCTGCTCTGCACGTCTCAAGACTGTCACTGTGTAAATGTGACATTTAAGGGTCTGGCCGAAGGCGTCAGTATTGTACACATTATTTATCACTCTGAACTTAGTACTCCACTTAAGGCCTCTGCAAAACATCACATACCAAGCGATGACATAAACATGCATGTCGACCAAACATATGGACTCACAAAAAGGAAAACCAATGGCATATACTTACATTTTTAATTCTGAGTGCACATCTGGTTGTTTTTGATTATACAGGTCACGTACATATAAACATATTCCATTTCAACAATACAGTATCTTCTACTGTACATGCCTTTGGGCTCTATACTCACTTAGTTTGCAGAATTTAAAATTACAGTTGATAAGAACATCCCCTTGAATGTGACATGTTGTGACTGCTTTCTTCAGAAGGTTAGAAGAAAACTGCAAAAAATGTTCTGAACCTCACTGGTTCCACATGTTATGCACAAAAGTAGGGAGGACACAACAGAAACGATTAATGTCAAGAACATGTCGTCGACTTTATATACTTTGACTGACGGGGAGATCTTGAAGGAGCGACACGAGTTAAGGACAGTTCTTATTTTTTCTTTGACCACTGCTGAAGAACAATACGCAATACAGATACAGAACATACAAATAGCTCACCTGTATCCAGAATTGCTGTGATCCAAATAAGCTGAAAAAGTTTGGACCATGCTAAAATGCCGACATGAGCTTCCACACGAAGGAGATATTGCCTTTTGGATGGGAACAAGTACGAGAATAAGTGAAGAACGCGTTCCACAGGCTGCAGTCACATTTTTGGAGCTGATAGCTGCTTGCAACATTTACATGAGAAAGTTGTACATTTCCTGCTCCGTCAGACTCTTCTTCTCTAGCTGCTGATCTTGGTCAGCATCTTGTTTATGGCCTGTTTGACGTGCGTGGTGGAGCTGCGGCGTCTGGCCTTGCCCTGCACGGCCTTGCGGCGCCTCACTTCGCGGCACAGCTCGTGGAAGGCCTCGGCCACGGCGCCGCCCTCGTTGGCGCACGCCGAACATTCGTAGAAGGCGCACGCCATTTCAGCCGCCAGCCGCTCGCCTTCCTCCGTGCCAACCTGCCGGACGTGGTCCAGGTCGCACTTGTTGCCCACGAGGACCAGAGGCACGTTTTTCGGCCTCTTCACCTCCTCTAGGAGACTTCGTAGCGGCGCCACATCCTCGAAGCTTCCGCGGTCCGTGATGTCGTACACGATGACAAATCCGTCTCCCCAACGCACGTGGCCCTCCTTTTGCTGGATGTCTTCCTGAGAGCAAGACAAACAGGACGCTTACTGTAACTCAATTAGCATCTATGGTGCGATCATATCAGTGCGCCAATATCCAGTAGACAGTTAGCTTAGCATGAAGACTGCAAACAGAGGGAATCAGCTGGCTGGACTGGTGAATAAAATCTGCCTGTGCGCACATCGAAAACATACAAAAAAATGTTGCATCGTGTTTGTGTTTGTCTAATCTGTTCAGAATTTTACTAGCGGTGTTGCGTTGCTGCGGAACCTTTACTTCCTCTGTTAAAAAAGGCCATTTCCTTTTAAGAACAAGTTTTTGCTGTGGCTAAAAACAATCAAGATACAAAAGACATGTCGTTAATCAGTGAGATTTGAAACGCTATGTTGTGATACTTTTAGGTAGAGACAAGCTATTTCCCTCCTGTTGTTTTTGCCACGTTAATTGGCTCCCGTTAGTCAGTCTCTGCATCGAAAAAATCAAAAACTCCATTCCATTTTTTCACTGAAGACCGTTTAATAAACAAGTCAGCTTCTCCGATCATTTAAATACATGAATAAGCTAGATGCAAAGACTTGTCCTTGCACACTTCATCTTTCAATGCCCAGTTGGATTTGAACCTAAAAAGACTCGTTACACAGCGACGCTTTTGTCTCCAAGTCCTGACCCCTGTTCCTTCAGCCTCTCCCTCACCAGCCTAATCTGTCTAAGGAATGTTGCCATTTAGCCACATCCTCCTTGTTTGATCCTTATGGTTATAATTACTTAACTGGTCGCGTGGCCGACTTTAATCGCACTGCAGAAAGCCACACACATCACCCTGATCTCATAATTATTGTTAGACGAAGCTCAAAAAATACCACATCACTCCGGAGAAAAGTAGAAAGTGACGTTTGTGTACCCTACCCGGAATTTATGAGCTACCAATACGACTCACGTTAGCACTGTACTTTGTTATGAGCAGAATCAGGACTCAGGAGAGACATTCAACACAGCCGTGTCTGGAAATATTCAAACCCAATCCTAATGCAGGCTGAAAATAGACTACAACATAATGAGAGAGAGAGAGATGACTTGGCTGAACTGTCACAGGGGAAATCAACCACAGGCAGAACACCTACACGGCACTGCAGCATATTTATCTTCCGCCTGAGGACCATCGCAAGCTCTCTCAGGGCCAGGACCCGACAATCCTTGTGGCAGACTGCAGACAAACCGTCATCTTGGAGAGCCATTCGGTCTCACATGCACTCATGTCTTTGTAAAATAAGCGTTGCAATCTGTCAGGAATAAAAAACAGTGGACCGGAGCATTGGAGCTGGTTTGTATTATAAACAAAGCCAGCTTCCCTGATTTTTGTATGCATTGTTTTCCTACAGCTCTTTATGTCCACTCTGCCGTCCAAAACATACTGGTCAATTATTTATTTACCAAGTGCCTATTGCAGTGGTTTCTTTTTTTCTTAGTGGGCGCCATACAGCACATTGCTGACATAATAAGCAGTCGGAGGAAGTTGGGGAGAAAAAAAACTCTCAGGGAAGACTTTGGCATTTAAGAATTTATTTTCTTTCTTTTTGCTATTAAATTTATTAGAAAAGTGACCTGTGCAGTTTTGCCTCTTGTTATTTGAAATTATATAGCGGTACATATTGAGGATGTCCCAAAATCAGAAAGTGAGTAGTCATAAACAAGTTCAATTCAATTTGACTCTTAATAGCAATTTGATATCACATTGAGTTTGTTATCTCCTTCAGGTTTTAGACGTGCTACTGTAGAAAGATGAGTAGAGGCACATCTTCTGAATTTTGTCAACAGCTTGGTACCAAAGTATCTCGTGACATCCCAAGTTCTTTTTTAGTGGTTGCTGGTATTTTTTTATTTATTTAATTTCTTCCCACATGGTTGAGAATTAAATCAAGTTTGGCCTTTTTTAATTTAACAGAAGGTCCATCTGGGGGAGTAGAATAGGAAGACAAATGTATTTACAAGGAAGGATTGTTTAATAAAACAACAGAGTGCTGAATCCAGGGCTTTTTAAGTTTCACCTAGACTGGGAACAGAAGTCAGGATAATTCATACTTTTCTTTTAACCCGTCTTCAGATCATTTAAGTTGACATCCATCACGTCTCTCCGGAAGCGAAGCAATGGAGAATACACTTGGATTGACAGATACTGGACTTTGTTTGTATACTTGCAGTACATTATCAAAATAATCAGTACCTCATATCAAGTACTGTGTGGTAATCCTTCCCTTTCCTACGGTACAGTTGGGATGAATTGAAGATGGAGGTAGACAGTCTCTTTTTCAACACACATTTGGATTGGGGAAAGGGGAATAATTGGTCTCACCTGCCCAGCAGTGTCCAGAATCTCCATGGTAACGACCTCATCGTCGATGTTGGCTTGATGTCGATATGTTGATTCTGTTGGCAAAAAAAGTTTTTAGGAATCCATCCCAAGTAAATAGGAGTGACACCCAACTCTTATCATTGGAGGAAAAGTCGGCTGATTGGGGCTAGTGTCGATAATTACCTGTGGCTTCTGTCTTTTTTTTTTGGACGCATCAATAAAAGGAATTCATGAATGTCTTGAAATGCTATCTGACATGACATTTTGTATATTATATAGTCTCTTCTGGCAAGTGCTGCTCGTTAGCTTGATATCGATCTCTCTTCAGAGATGTGTGAAGCGGGCAACACAAAAGTCAATTTTTTTTTCAGTACCAATAGAGGAGGGAAAAAGGAGAGACTTTGTTTTTAAAATAACACTGTGTTCATGTTTGTTTGTGGTTTTTCTTCCATTCAAAAAGTATGTTTCACTTTAGTGCCAAAGGCTTCAGTTTAAATTCAGCAGGTTGCTGCAGATTCTTGCAATGACCTCGGATGACCTGAGCATCACGTATCTGGTTGTAAAAAGCGGGATAAAAGCTTCTTATTCCTGGCGCAGGAACACAGGTGTGAACTATGGCCTTGACCTTTTATTTTGCCTTGAACAGCACTGGCGTTATCCACCTAAATTGCCCCTTTGTGAAAGCCCCATCTGTGTAAACACCATCGCACCAAAGCCCCGGAAAACCCTCCTTTTAAAAAAGAAAGCTTGTGATGGATTTTGCTGTCATCTGAACCAGGGGGCCAAAGCCGGCGCTTCCTCAAGGCTTTTTGACTTTACGACTTACAATGGCATGTATGTATGTTGGTTTTGTGAAGGGAGGCTATTCAAAAGATTAGTAAGTCAAGGAATCAATGTTGAAAAAAATGACTAGACTGTTTTTTTTTCTTTTGGGGAATTTTGACATGTTGTTACTTTCATTGCCTTTCTTTTAAAAGGAATAACAAGACTCCATCTGGCACCGTTCATCACTTGCACTGATGAATAAAAAAGGAGAGTGAAAGCTGAAAAATGACTTTTACCACTACTACTTCCACAATGGGACACAAAACAGTGCTGGTAGGTTTAACTGTTTTGCTGCTTTGGTATACTCTGATCTGTGCCTACAAATCTAACATGCACTATTTTGTGTCAGTAAAATAATTCTATTATTAAGCTGTTGAGCTGAAGGTTAAAGGGTAAAGCTCTATATAGCGAGCTAATAAAGTGAATGTTTGTTCAAATCTAAATCTAAACAATGAATTCCCTTTTTCCCTATATTACTAAATTGATCTTTTTATACCAGCTGTATTCATAGCTCAGGGATTCATGGAAGAAATCTCAAAGCCACAAACCATGACACTGAAAAACATTTGGAAAAGGAGGAATGGACCTAAAATAGCAGATTATGATCTGGTTGTCCCTCCAGTTTGCAGCGTCCCAGGTGTGCTCCCCCTCTTCAGGGGATAAACGGCGTACTGTGACATCGGTGAAATGTCACCGAGAGCCGGAGGCAGAAGTAGAGTGCTGACTTACAGCCGTTTGGCTGGAGGCCCAAGGAGCATCTGTGAGGAGGAGAACCTCACAGTCTCACACAGTGACCCTTGGGACAGACTAATTCAGGAGCCATCGCTCCATCAGCCGCAAACACCACCTGATCTGTCTGCCTCAACCCCACCATCCCGTCAGAAGGGTTTGGAGAGAAAGAAAAGCTGTCGCTTTCCCAGCAGCGGATAACTTTCCTCAGTTTTGGCAGAAGGTCAAAAGATAAAGTGTCGCACCAGACAATAGGCGTCAAAACTGGAAACATAATTTAACTCATTCACTCTTACAGTACTTTACTTCCAAAACGCTCAAACCCAAATGTTGAGATTTGTCCTCTGAGAGAAATGCCACCCCACAGAAGAAGTGGTTAATTCATGCAGTGCAAAAGGATTCTGGATTCTGATGAGATCGTCGTAACGGCAGATGACTTTACTCAAGTCCTAGCATTACTTATGCACATATTCATGTGTTTTTGAGTCATTCGTGATAGGAACACAGGATGCTGCGGGCACACAGTTAATCTTGCTCCTTTGCTGACGCACTGTTAGTGAAGTCACCCGCGGGTGTCTGAAACAACCTTTTGAGGTGTTTGGATTTCGATATATGATGATATATTTGTATTTCACTTTCTGAATGGATTTCATGGCAGTCAGACATCAGAGAGAGCTGCTGAATGTGTGACTTGCACTCGGCTGATCAAGCTTCTCCAACTAAAGATGAACCAATTCATCTTCATTTACTGGTCAAAACGGGCCAGTTGTCGGTTTATGGACCACGATGAGCTGACAAATTCTTCTTTTGTTTCTTTTGTTCTTTTTTTCCCCTGGTGATGGTTTTACGTTGCAGGCAGGAGGCTGCAGGCGTTACAGGAGAGTCTCAAAGTGAACACACATTTAGATTAATAAAAAAAAGAAAATAACATGAAAGTTAATGCTTATCATTTTAATGAAAAAGTTGAAAACAAAATGTTTGAATAGATCTAAAACACATTGTGTTCATTTTCAATGGTTCAGTTAAGTATTCCTCTTCAATACTTTAACGATCCACCCCAAGATTTTACATATTTGATCGTTTGTGACAAAATCAACATCTATGTAGCTATTTCTGCCACCCTGTGCATATTTCTCTAGCTCGGTCACTGCTTCACATTTGTGTGAGCAAGCTCATGTGGTTTGGGTTCTCGGCATCAGAGGTGTAGGAGACGCCTCTGCCCAGGCGGACCCAAGACGTGCTGGAGCAGGGACGGGGAAGCGTGTGCATGCCCTATACGAACATGTGCAAAACGGCTAAATCCGGGCCATGGGTTTTGGGTTGGGAGGAAACTCTACAAAAACAAAACCTCCAACACATGAGATTTCCTAACCTTGCAATCAAAGGACTAGATGGGTAGATAATAAATGAAGATAAATAGCTGCAGACCCTGTGAGGCACATTGTAATGGACAAAGTGCAGGCTTGTGTTCTGGCAGGTTTAGCGCTCCATATGCACACGCGTGATGTGCCCATAATAGGGTTTTGATAATGAGTTGACCACTTCATGGGTAATTTAAGCCCGGCACTCTGATTGGTGGCAGACACCCTCCGGCTGTACTTTTCTCCCTTTATGCTACTTCATCTGTGCTTTCTCTGGTTGTGACGCCAGGGCTAGTAATCAAGGACGCACATATCCTTTTCTGCTTTTTTTCTGGCCAAATCACGTGCACTGCTTGACGTTAATACAGTACACGTGTTGTGGGAAGCTGGTACACACCGTTCTGATACACTGCACTTCAACAAAGCCCTCGAGGGATAATTTTGCAGAGGAAACGGGTTGATAACCGTTTTCTCCCCTGGAGTTCCATCTTTGCCAAACAAAAAACGGCACATTTGATACCAGATCAGCGTTCCTTTTTCACCTGAACAGCTAAAAGTGCCTCAACTACCCGTCCAGTGGTGTGCTGTGTAATGAAACAGAGTGCATAACGGCCACGACATCGCAATCATGCTTTTACACAGAGAGAGTTCATTGATTCCAGAAAAGAAGGAGAAACGTGAGAAATTAGTTGCTGAACCATGTGTCACAGAAAGTGGATCCGGTTTTGAGGAGAGCACTATGTGAGCCATCCTGAGGCTCTGACCTGCCAAGTAAAGGCAGGAAATGAAGAGCACCTCACAGAGGAGATGCCATGCCTTTGTTCCCTGTAATTACAGTGGCTCCATCTGCATTGGTGAATAAAAAAGGCCGATTCTATGTTGCTCTGATAGCCTAGGAAACCTTTTCCTAAACCTGATGCCAAATTCATCTTTGTAAATGCAGGAAGATATAGTGCTGCGCCTTGGTAGATGTGTTTGTCCACCCCTTCGGCAAGAGTTGGATTATTTGATATTACGCTATTATTTAAAAAAAATTGAATTAGCACAAAGGCCTTGCTGGAGCGCCAGCACATCTAAAGCGCGCAAATGAACAGGTTATATCTTGTTTATCAATCTGTGCAAAAATGTTTAAGCTTAATGGAGATTTAATCACAGATTTATTTCTGGTTCGACAGACTCATGCTTATCAAATGAGATGGAAATATCAAGGGAAGCTGCCTGGCATTTCCTCCACCGGGATTATGTACATGTTTTTGTATTGGGAGTCTGAATCAGCACTTTTTCTGCACCAAATAAATGCATATAGCTTTGAAATCATTTTCTTCCCCCCTGTAGGGGCTGAGGGTCACCCATTGTAGTTTTGCACAATCTCAGTGAAGCCTAGTGTTGCAGAAAGTATTGCTGATGGCAACAACAGGTGTACTGATCCATTGCAGTAGGCAAAGGTACAGCAGCAGCAGTAATGCCAGTACCACCGGTCAAAGTATTACCAGCAGATATCTTATTGTCTTACCGAGTGTCGGGTCGTACTCCCAGATGAAGCGTCTGGTCAGAAATCTCACCACCAAAGCTGCAGAGTACAAATAAGAGTTTTTGTTATACATCATATTGTTTTCAGATTTCACGACATTATCATGGTGCTGATTATATCAGACTGTGGTCCTTATATCCACTGACAGGATGACTACTTCCATAATCAGCTGTGGAAAATCACCAGGACATCACAAGATCCGAAACACACACATTTCATCTAAATGCTATAACAGTTCTAGATCATTTACGCGGAATCTGAGCAGCCCTCGGGGTAAAACATATCAGTTCTCCACAGTTCAGCATGAGCTTCTTCCTTTATGCGACAATTATCCTGCTCTTTTCAGTGCCAGCTTTCAGAAGAAGTAAACAGAACAACATCCCCAGCATGACTCACGCTCAATGTTCTACCATCAACAGGTAACATGCCGCACAGAAATTACTTTGTCGTTCGTTCAGACGGATTTAGAAGGGCCGTTACAAGGGAACCAAACCATGTGTGTGCTCTGGGGTTATTTGAAGCGTGGACTGGTTTTAGGAAAGCCAGGTAACTACATAAAAGCATTCACCTACCAATCAGCTGTATTTTTCCATCTAAAATCCCAAAACATACTCGGTCTTTTATTCGATACGTGTCCAAGCATCAAGTTCCCCTTCAACCACAGGAAGTCACAGCTGGAGGCGTTTGCCTCAGCTCAGTTTTCTCTCTACTTTTTGGTTTGTGTTAGTTCAAAGGTTTAGGCTCTAATGTGAGCATTAGCAAACATGCACCCAGTTCACATTTGAGAAAATACACTTTGCTTTCTAGCATGATACACACATGAGGTATGTGCATGAAATGTGGAGCTGTTTATGAGACGAGTTTAGCATATTAGCTGGAATACTTTGAGGGGAAAACGTCTAATCTGTCAATATCTGTTATCTGTCATTACATGCTAAGCTAGGACCTCCAGCTCCACCTTTAAACTAAACTCACTCTTGGAAAGCAAGTACGGCATTTAGCCAAACTGTCTTCCCCTGTCCTCTATGCTTTAAAGAGACTACAGGTCTATCTAAAGTCTGCTAACATTAGCCTCGGAGAGCCCAGTTCAGAACTAGTGAGACTCGTTGTCCGACGAACTCCAAAGTGTTTCATAGTCGCTCTGAACAGCTACCCTTGAAAAGGCTGCCCCGCTGTGTTTTTCCAGACGTTTGCTATGTAGGAACCTTTTTAGCTTTTTGCTAATTCTTTGCTAATGCACGGTGACAAGCGAGTGTTCACGCTTCCATTGTTTCTCTGTGGGAGATTTTATAAGCCCGAATGCCTCCCTATAGGCCTGAGTGGCCCTCTTTGACACCAAGCATGTATCGGTGCTCTCGTGTCAAGTTGCTGAGCTGCTTCTTGAATCGAAGTGACTATAGTGAAAGAGCATTGCCTCTTGAAATTAGGGGCAAAAAACACATCAATCTTGCTCAGGCCTTTTTAATGTCCTTTTTAATGTGAGGTCGATGACCTCAGGGTTTTGAGGGTTTCTGAGAGACTGGGGGGTAAAATGTTTCAATTTGTCCTTCACACATCTGAAGTGACAGTCAAAACATTTCAGTTACTTGACACTGTTGCATCAGTTGGTCGGTTCATTCTCACTGGTGCGGTGAATAGATTTAATTAAACATGTAGGGAGAGACACGCGGGGCTTCCGCCACCCTTCAAATTTTGGACTGAACCACATTTCCCCTTTTCTTTCCTCCCACAACGAGTGGGTTTTCATGCAAAGGGAGAGTGTGTCACGCAACTTTCAATATTCCATGAAGGCACTCAGCTCAGACCAGCAGCAGCAATAACCTTTTGTCGTGCTGTTGAGCAGGCGGACCGACACAAACGTTTCCTTTTCTTGTTGCCGAATTTCTCACTGAGGTTATTTGGCTTTGTTTCTTCCACAGTGACTTGGATGTCAGGTGGACAGAACAACCAATGGGGTGTGAAGTCTTTTTCTCATTAGAGGTAACTGTATCTCCTGCTTTTCTCTGCCATTCGGGGAAATGTACACACAGAAGAGAGGGGCCTTTGTTAACCTGCGTCAATATGGACATTGTGGCCCAAATTCCCTCCAGGTTTGCGGAGGGAATAATGTGTTCTGTATCGCTTAGCTGACCAGATCACAAAGAAAGGAGAGTCACTCGTTGTGTGCAGACGGAGAACAGCTGATAACAGCGCTGGTAAAAGAAACGAAGCCTCATTGGACCTGTCAAAGGCGTACCTACTGCTGCCCTGGAATCCTGCAGCACCACTTTCATTCTTTTTTTTAATTTTATTTTTAAATCACCGAATTACACTGATTAAAATGGAGAAACACCTTTTGATTTATGTCTTATATACTGGAGCACATGCCCTATAAAGGTTTGCGTTAAGGCATTGTATCAAAGATTTTGTCTTTCAAATCAGCTGCTATTAAGGCTGGATGTCATTTTTAACACAAAACCCATTTTCAACTACAGGTATCTAATGACAGGCGAACAAGAAGTTTTCCCATCACAGTGCACGTTTGTTTGCAAAGGTGCCAAAACTATTGAAAACACGCAGTAACGTTAGTTTAATACATGGTTAGTAACACAAATCGAAACTCTAAAACTTATGAATAACCACGGGAGATGACGCATGGTGCAACGCTGCACGACCATAACGTTAGTGGTGCAGTAATTACTTTCACCATGGAGGCAAATAAGAAACATTTCCACTGACTATCCTGATGAGCCTCATAGATCATGCATTGGTGGGAGACAAGTGGTTAACAGAACATGGTGTTTTCTTGCTGCCATCTTGGAAAAGTGCTCTGAGATGCTTTTGGGAAATGCAGGCGTTGATCCGGGTCAGTCTTACGCGCAATGTGTCAGAATACATTATGCAAATAAGTGTTTTTTTGGAATCAACCTCAATTCTGCAATGAAGCGCCCAAACTGACGCCATAACTCTTTCCAAAGAACATTGCTCTAATTTTGTTAAATTCTTCAGCCCAGACTTCACCCGCCCGCTCTGAGTGGAAGGATGGAGGACTGTTGAGTTTTCAAATTTATGTCTAACACATCATCTGCGGGAGGTGTTTGTCTAAAGCCGCTTTTGTCCAAAGTGACCTAATCACATTGGCAGCAGAATGTTGGACTAATTGCAAACAAAGCTAAAGCAATTAGGGTTGGCCAATCTGAGCCGCCGCTGTGTTACTCAGTGAACAGTCTCTATTGATTACCCACAACAACTCCCGCTGCTCTTTGGTTCTCTTCGGCCACAAAAATACCTCTTTCCTGGCTGACATGAAGTGCTCTCCCAGAGCTGTGCAGCTGCGATCAAGTTGTATACCTTTCGTGTTCATGTCACGTCAGGTCATATCGTACGTGCCAGTTGTGCAGATGAGACTGTAAGGGGAAGTTATTAGACTGGGGCTGAATAAGCACATAACAGTAGAACTAGAAAAGTAGCAGCAGTTTAATCAATGAAACCAGTGAGGAGTGAATGTTCTCACCGGCTTGAGTTACTTCATGAATTGAATCTCTATCATAATGAAGATGAGGTCTCACCAAACAAGTCTTCTGATTTGGACTGATCATATCCTCTTGTTGTAAATCTGATGGAAGGACCCCAGCTCAGGTTCAGCTCATGTTTTACATCAATAGAAGGATGGGAAAGGGGGGTGGGGGGGTTATTGACCACATAAGCTGTTTTCTAGGGTTCTAAGACAATTGTTGCCCTGCTGTTGTATTTACAGAAAGGAAGCTACAGTTTTCTTAAAGGGACTTTTGAAATCTGTCAACTACACTTTTCTGCCACTCATTGTTTTTATACGAATATGCTCTATATCTTTTTCTTTGATGCTGCAAAGCACAATTGATAGTATTGTTTGAGAGGTAGACGTCATTGCTGGCCTGAATTTCTACGAAATAGATTTGTCCCCGATCTCATGCTTTCCTGCAAAGCCGCTCTATGTGAAAGACAACTGAGAGAATTAGGACACTTAATTCGTGGGGCTTATCAAAGCCATTTTGTCCCAGCTCGAGCATTAATCCTGAACATCTGCAGAGCTTCAGCATGTATACACGGTGTAACTGGATTACATCATTCCACTGAAGGATAATAAGAGAAATGTTATGTGAAGCATCAACATATTAATACCAGAAGGTCGCTTCCAGGTTTTTCATAGATTTATTTAACATATTTTATTATTGTGACAGATCCAGGGTCATTTTAAAGTACTGTGTTGCAGCCCTGGCAACATAGTGTTTATTTTTTGGCGGAAACTAAATAGCAGATGGAAACACAGTTCTGTTCGGCTATATTGTAGGAAAGCTGCACTTGTATTTATCTCCTGTGTAAATACATTGTTGGATGGGCATGCTTTTTCACACACAGCAAGAAGTGACAGCAATAAGAACAGATTAGCTACAAAAGCACCCAAGCCACTCCCGCAACGGGAGGTCAGGCCACTGTTCCCAGTCTCAGAGCTTTCCTCGGGGAACGTCTGTGTCCCTAAGCACCAACACCAAGCCTATCAGGAGTGGCTTGATAGCAAAAACTGGATTTTTGGACGATAAGGAAATATATATTGTGCCAGGGGAAACATTCAATTTTTGTCTCCTGCCAAATATAAATGTCAGACATCTCATCATCTCTGCCTCTTTCCAGATCAGATTACAGCCCGCCAATCAGGCTCCATTCACATTTATTCTGGGATTGAACCAATACCCTTTAAAGAAGGGATGTGGGAAGTCTAAAGTGAGCACAGTAACAATAACACACAAGGCAACAGTAAACATGTCATCTGCCATGAATAATGGAGAAACCCTCTGGGCCAATCAGGAATAAATATTTCACTTTTGTGCAAGGGTTCATGGAAATGTAGCTTTATGTAAGGAATAGTCTAAAGCCTGTGTTTCTCTGCTCCAAGGTGGCTTATATTGTTAGCATGTCCTGCTAACGTACAACCTCCTGTTGTCAAGTGGGACTTAAGGCCAAATGTCTGGTCATAGTACATCTACTGTAGTACTTTCCCCTGTGTGTAGGTTTAGTCAACA